CACCCCTGCCCGTACACTTAAGTAGTCATTAACCCCTACGCCCTGCCCACCCATTTCTTCCTCACTCTTTCTCCTTCTTACACTATTATCTCTTATTGGCCACTGGCTATCGTGAGAATAAAGATTTGAAACAGAAACAACAACAGCCACAACATGGTTATAGAAGCAAGAGATTGCCGCGGAACCTGTTCAAATACTTTGAACTTTACTGATACATAACAATAATTTCTACTTGATATTGTATTCTGCTCCTCTTCAGGATTATCAAACCCCCATGGACACGAGTCGCTCATATTATCATTCCCCTTACAGCTTTCCAGTTAAAAAAAAGGGACGGTACACGCAGGCGACAGTACCGACTACTTCACAATCAAAGATTACTCGCAATGCCCACGCCGTGTCAGCGTCTTTGGATGGAAATGCATCAGGAAAGACCAGCTCCGACGCTGTCGGTTGCAGCGCAGCTAGCGTCATCCCAATAAGCCACAGCCACCAGGCAAATGGCAGTTCCAAGCATCCTGAAGGCAACTACAGGGAACAGCAATCATGTCTACCCTGGTCAAGCACAAATCACACTCCAGCGGCGTCTCAGTATGCTGCTGATACTCGCACTTTGCCAACTGATCTGAGGGTAAGATTTATTACCAGGTGGATGGCAACATGACGTAATTGTGCATACCGTTACTACTGACTTAAATTCAGTTACTTCTGCAGTATCAGTTATGACATTGGTTGCTCCTACATGTACATGGAGCACTCGCTTCCTGCAGACCATGACCCTTGATTGGATTAAGACTTCCATCTGGTAGCACACATTACCGGTAGCATGCCATACCTTCCGCCTGGCAAGCCTCCAAAAACGCCACCATTCGTTGCTCAATACACAGTGCTTTGGGGAACTCAAGCCTCGCCTTTTGAGCTTGAGTAGGTTGTGGTAGATTTTTCCTACAATACACCACTGATATAGTGCCCCATAGGGCAAACCATCACCAGGGCTGCAAACGTACAGAGACGCTCTATCTACAGTGAGAGAAACACCTCGCAAGGTGGTTTCCCAGCGAGTAGCGTAAGGCAGCGTCATTTCAGGAGTTGTGCGACTAGTTGCTGCAGATGACAGCGTTGTCCATAGCTAATGACTCTCAGGGTCTGGTTACCATGGAGAGTTGCTTTCTTGCAGGTTTTCCTAGCTAGCTTAGTCGTTAGAGCATGAGACTCTTAACCAAAGGGGTACGGCTATATTGACTGCCTATATTGACTCCGTTTTTTTATTGCGATGTTAAATAAGAACAAACATACAACAACAACAACAACAACAACAACAACAACAACAACAACAACAACAACAACAACAACAACAACAACAGCAACAGCAACAACAGCAGCAGCAGGTGATACTCTCCTTCTTGGGTGTAGATACCGTCCTCCAGACAAGCCAGTCCCGTACTGGTACTCTCTTCAAGAGAACATACTTTTTTAAATATATTTATATTAGGCCCTTTCATCCCTTGTATCTTTGGTTTTCTTCCTTCTTTCCGTGTCGTATCGTTTGAGCAAGCCCGTTTTGACTAAAAATAAAGCAACAACGACAACAGGCTTTCTTTTCCCATATCTCCTTTCATCCGTGTCTCCTTTCCAAGTTTTCCCATGCTTGGGTTACTTGGACCTCATTCGCTTCCTTGTCATTGTACGTTTTCAGTCCGTTCGGTTTGTGAATTCAAATGAACACCACCAACCAACCAATCATTTCATTGGCCAAAATTTTCAACAAGTGCTTGTTTTGTTTTGAACATTCCAAACGTCATCCGACTGTCATGGCCTTGTGGCTCAGCTTTTCTTCTTCAAATTGTGTACTCCTGAGACCTCAGGTCGGCAGAGCCATCTATGCCCCACCATCACTCCTGCATCTCGGTGCAGCCCCTGCTCAATAGCTGTCACGTTTGTCCTAGTCTCAGTACCATTGTCTTTCTTTATTATTTTTCGAGCTGGGAATGTGAACATAGTTAAAAATATAAAAAAATAAATAACAACTCTTGTGCCGCTCCGTTGTGTGTATGATGATGGCCATGTGTCTACTGCTCTCATCGCTGGTAGAGCCCGTGTGGCCCCGCTCGCAGGAATATTGACACCGAGACTAGAACTGTTAGCTGCAGTCATGGGCATGCAGTTGGCTATCTGTCATTCAATTTCCTCTGTCTACCAGCAAGTGTTGCAACCATTTGGACAGACAGTCTGAATGTGCTGTACCGGATCCGAGACCGTGCGCGGAGCTTCAAGCCGTTCATTGCAACACGTATCGGAGAGATTCAGCAAAACACCAGTTCCACTCAGTGGCGTCATGCGCCGACTAAAGTGAACCCGGCACGTTCTCTCCCGAGGTTCGTCAGCCCAGGCTCTGATCCATAACGAACTCGTGTGGTTGGCGCCAGACTTTCTCCGCAAAGAGGAAGCAGAATGGCCAGCTCAGCAACCTCAAGAGCCAACGTGTACTGCCAACTTGGAACAGAAGAGTGCAGACCCATTGCGGCAGGCACCAGTCGTGCTAGCTGCAGTGGCAGCTGAGGCCAAGGCACCTTGGAGCTTGAATGCAACAAGGTTTGCCGACATCAACCGTCTCATACGACACCAAGCATGGGTGATTCGTTTTGTGCAGAACTGCTGCAAGCCAATAGAGCTCCGTGGGACTGGCCCATTGTCTACTGAAGAGCTGGAGAGCAGTCGAGCTGGTGTGATTGCTGCAGCACAAGAAGAGTCTTTGGAAGAGTACCGTTTGGTGAGAGATGGAAAGCCTATCCCAGCGTCAAGTAAGCTGGCAAAGTTACGACCAATGGTGAATGGTGATCCAGTGCTGTGTGTTGACAGCCTTCTGCAAAATGCTGCCATCCTGGACGAGCAAGCAAGATGTCCTGTGATTCTGCTGCGCGGACTCTGGGTTACTCGGCTCATTGTGAAGAAGGATCATGAGAAGAACCGTCATGCCGGCGGCTGTCTGATCTGTCACAGAAGTATTGGCCGGTTTCTTGCTGGCCGAGAGGATACAAAAGCGTGTTTGAAGAAGTGTGCTCATTGTCAACGGCAGGCCACGAAGCCAGGTACGCAGATAATGGCGCCACTACCTACCGTCCGTATGTCATTGCCGCTGAAAGCATTTTCGCGGGTCGTGGTGGATTACGCCGGACCTTGCACAACCAAGCAGGGACGCAGAAAACCTCGGGCGAAGGGGTACCTGTGTCTAGTTCAGTTGCCTTCAGTCCTGGGCTGCTCATTTGGAAATGGCAACCGGCCCATTGTTCAGATACAGGTCGTCTCCGATAACTGCACCAACTTCGTCGGCGCCACCAACAGGATGAAGAAGCCTCCGACAGAAATGGAGGGAGATGTGCAGCGTCGGGCACGGTCAAAATTGCCCGAAACCCTTGGTCCCCTACTTTTCTTGGTCCCCTATTTTAAAGGACTTACCTGCAGTCTTCCCTGGAACATCTTTGTTTGCTGATGACACGACCTTTCTTACCTCATCGGCTTCCCTCACTGGCCTGAAAAACAACTTGCGTGCTGGCATTCACGAAGTTCTTTCCTGGACGTCGTCCTGGAGGCTGTCCCCAAATCTATCAAAAACAAATATCATGCTCTTCCCGTCCCAGCAGGAATTCACATCTCTCGTCCATCCCAATTTCCACATGCAATTGACATAGTGTCTTCTCACAAACACGTTGGCATTGTAATTGACTCTGCATTATCTCAGGTGCCCCACATCGAATATATCTGTCACAAATCAAGCAAATCCTTAGGAATTCTCCCTCCCCACTGCTCCTACCTCCAAATCTCTTGCAAGCTTCTTTTTTATTCAGTCTACTAGTATCTTCGCCCAGTATTCGATTATGCCGGTACGTCTTGGACTGGATTGTCCTCGTCCACTGCTGCAAAGCTTGAAATACACCACAAGAAAATCCTTAAAATTCCCCTCTGTCAACCCCGCATGCTCTCATCATCCGCTCTTTATAATCTCGCTCACACCACTCCGCTATCACATAGACGCAGTGCACACCTGGCTGCTCTTGTCCTTCCATTAAGCTTGAGTTGTTCCCACCTCATGTGTTTTAATTGGTTCTCTTCTCTAAGAACTAGCGACTCGTTCGTGCTCCCCAAGTGTAACTCATCCACTCCTTTGCGCTCTCCTCTCTTTATTGCTTTTTCTGTTTGGCTCACTCTTCCCCGAGAAGTTAAGGATATGGTCTCACTCCGCCTGTTCAAGATCCGTGCCGCCCCTTATTTACTACGACATAAGTAGCTCATTATCCACATGTCCTTTCAGTCTCTGTTGCTTTTCACTGCTCCTATTTTTGTTTGTTTGTTTGTATTCCTTATTTAGAGTGGGAAGTCCAAAACAGGCCCTAGCCAAATAACAATGGTCCCACTAGTGAGGGAATGCTGTATATCTGTGCATAAGGATCAGTGAGTGTAACTGCAACTATTAGGGGAAGAAAAAGAGAGAAGAAAAACAACTCAAAACAGGAGTTGCGTCTTGCATAGGAAGCAAATAACGGAAAGAGCAGTGCATACAGCATTTATAAATAGGCTTATTTATCTGGCAAGCGAAAAGGCAAGAGCCATTGACTTAAAGCGATTGCGTTTATCTTTCTTGCCTAACCGCAGCGGGGAGCTGGTTCCATAAGATGGTCACAGCATAGGTAGCACGTTTGGCAAGATATGCAGTTGGGCTGGCTGGGACAATCAGTAAATTGCTGTGCCCACCACGAGTTTGAGTGGAATTACTGCGGCTGAAAAAGTTAGCGAACAACATGCTGCTGTTACAGGAGTCATGGAGACAACGCCAGATAAAAACCAGAAGGTGCATGTCGGCGCATGTGGTCAATGTTTGGATGTTCATGCGCGTAAGAATATTGCTTGTGGGTGTCCCGGGAGGTACTAGTACATGTACCCGACAGACTGTGCGTACAGCACGCTTTAAGAGCCCATTCAGCCGTCCACTTTGCTACACTGTGAGGAAGGGTAAGTAAGCAGACGCGGCATACATAAAGTGTGATAAAATGGAAGAACGAAAATGGGCTATGCGACATTGAACAGGCAGGAATGTAGCGTATCGTCTGAGCACGCCAACTTGCGACATGGTCGACCATGGTATTCCAGCTCATGTCCACATCAAAGTGGAGACCAAAATATTTCTCAGAGCGAACAGTTGGCAGAGGCAGTCCATTACATTGCACTTGCAAGTCAAATGTTTGAGATCACACTGGCGATATCGGCATGATCTGTGTCTTCGTTTCATTCAAGATGAGACAGCGGTTCCTGAGCCAATTGGCGAGGTGCTGGACAGCACTTGAGAGATTTTGGGATACCTCATTCGTGCTCATGGTGCTGGATCTAATTGAGATATCGTCCGCAAATTGCAGGGTCGCAACTTTGTAAGGGGACAGCTCTTTTGCAATGTCACGGATGTAGAGAGTCGTTGTCTTGCAATGTGGCTGTCCCCATCCGACCCTGCACTGTGGTTTTGTTGTTGCAAATGTGAGGTGTGAGAGAAAACAAACAACAGGGGCCCGAGAACTGACCCCTGTGGTACTCCGGAGAAGCTGGTGTATGGTGAGCTGTGTACCTGATCGACTTTAACATACTGTGTCCGATCTGAGAGGTAGTCTGCAAGCCATTGCAGCACCGTTCTACCAATTCCGACCATTTGAAAATTCTCTTTCTTTACTGAGTTGTTGCTGCTGTTGATTTGCTACTCCTTTGTTTTCCCTCTCCTTACTTATACTTTTCGCCGTGGTTGGCAATCACTCACTCTCTTATTGGCCGGTGTTTTCACCGAGTCTTGATATGTTGTAATAAATATACCCCCCCCCCCCAATGATGGAAACGAGCAACGATTTTTATTTTATTTTTTTATTTTTTTATTTCACCGTCCAATGCAGAAGCCAATGCAAAGGAGGGGGCGTTAACCAGCCATGGCAAGAGAAGAAAAAGAAAGAAAGAAGGATTTAGGGCATTGTTTGGTCGGGTGCGCGTTGGACCTGACAAGAATGCAAAACTTCAACAGATCGTTACTCAGTCAAATCTCTCAAGTCAAACAATCCAAATATCCAGGTCGGATAAAAAAACTCTCAGCTGTCGGTAGAAGCAATTCGCGAAGCGCTGCCATCAATGGTTCTTGAGATAAATCATTCGTAAGTTGAGCTGCGATCTCGGCAATTTCAAAAGCGGGCAGTGCGACTTGAGTATCGAGAATTTGAGACTTTTCGTCACGCTGACTTGCTCAAATTTGCACGGGTTTCACTTTTGATATTCTGAAGAGTGAGCAGCGAAAAATCGAAACTCTGCGATTTGATGAAAACGAAAATAAAGTGAAACTGGTCTAAGGCGACCACTCAAGGGACCTTCAAAATGTGGTCTTTGTATACAGTTAGTCTCCTTATCCAGTGTCATTTGACTGGAAGCGAAAGTCCTTCGTCCTGGTGGTTGGGTTCACTTGGACAGTTGGTCGCCTTATCAGAGTGGTTACCTTGACAGGTTTTACTGCAGCTGGAGCAGGACGTGCTTGGGCAAATTTGGCAAGTTCGGGGCATTTTTCGCACTGTCGCTGCACTCTAGCGGTGGACATACATATGTACCATATTTACAGTGTCTTGGCAGGCTGGCTAGCTCATGGCTATCATGATTGATTTCATTCTCTTCCTCTGCCAGATACACCACCACGCACCATTATTCACCCCAGTGTCTGGAGATATGTGGATTTTGTAGAAAAAAAATACCTTCCCACTTCCAGGAAGCCCAAGATAATCAAGATTGAGCCCGGAGTAGAACTGAAGTTATCATCCAAGGAACACGAAAAAATGCAGACTTTTGAATATTTCCTGGGGCTTTATTAAGAAGGGTTAAAACTCATTCTTTGTGACCCGATAGGAAACCCCCTAGAGGTGACCCTGCGTACGCGCCTGAGTATATGTATGCCTATAGGGTGAATATTATTGTGAAACCGACGCACTGCAACTGCTGTCGACATTAAGTTTTAGTAACCGGTGTGAGGCACCGTAACTGGCTTGCAGGGCCTAGTGTGTCACTATGATTCTTCATTATTGCGAGTACGTGTGGATGATTAATCTACGTTTAATCAGAGTAGGGAAGAATGTTCAGAAGATCCCGAAGTCTGAACCAACGACTGTGTGTCACATGCATGATTGTGCTTTACTGCTACGCATCTGCTTCCAGTGTGCTAGCATTCATGGTTGAATTGACTGTTGATCTGAGTGATCAACGTGCTCATGTCCTGCGAGTTTCCGGATGCATGCGAGCTTGTGCAGCGCTGTGCTATGCTGCGCTGCTTTTGTTTAGCTCCTGGTCGTCGGACTTTAGACTAGTTGGTATGAACAATTGCGTTCGGAGTTCATGTAGAAAGTTCAAGGTTGTTGTTTCTTCGAATCGCTTTCCGTTGTGCACGAATGTGGAATGTGTCACTGTGTGAATGTGCCTTCCATTTAGTGACTTTTTCGTAAATAAAAATACATGTACTTTTAAAAAGGATTATCCAGAAACTCTAGGCCTGAACAGGATATTATTTTAATACTCAATGAAATGCCACGTGTTCAGTAGCAAGTACTAATATTACAGTACTAGAGTACAACTAAAACAAAGAAAGTTAGTACCTGCACGCGGTATGTAGCGTCCGGCAGATTCGGCCGGCAGAGAAATGGGCAGAATTCGGTACTTTTTCGTGTAAGTTTCATGCATGTTTGGTATGTGGATAAAGAAATGGAGCAGAATTCGAGGAATTGCCCGCCATAAGGTTTGTATGGTTCTGCCAATTTTACTGCTTTTCGAGCAGAATCTGCCGGTCCCTACCGGTATGCACAGCCAAGTCAGGGGAGGGGGTTGGTGTGGTATCAGCGTAAAGAGTGTAGTGAAGAAAGTGCTGGAATGTTTGAATCTGTAGACACAGCTTATAGAAAGGAGAGATTGCCGCGGAACCTGTTCAAACGCTTTGAACTTTACTGATATCCCAATCATTTCTACTTGCTCCTTTGTTCTGCTCCCCTTCAGGATTATGAAACCCCCATGGTCAGGCCTGGCCAACATGTTCCTAACCCGCACAACCATACAGTTGAACCACAGCAACGTCACACGCAGGCGACAGTACCTACTAAGGCACTATCGAAAAATGCTGACTATCCTCACGCCGTGCCAGCTTCTTTGGCTGGAAATGCATCAAGAACGACCAGCTCCGACGCTGTCGGTCGCAGGGCAGCTAGCGCCATCTCAGTGAGCCACAGCCACCAGTCAAATGGCAGTTCCAAGCATCCTGAAGGCAACTACAGGGAACAGCAATCACATCCACCCTTGTCAAGCACTAGTCAGGCTCCTGTGGTGTCTCAGTATGCTGCTGATACTCAAACCTTGCCAACTGATCTGAGGGTAAGATTTATTACCAGGTGGATGACACCATGACAAATTTGTGCATCCACTTGTAAGCTTAGAATTGACTTCAAAACTCACTACGTTGCTTGCTGTGTGTGTGTGTGTGTGTGTGTGTGTGTGTGTGTGTGTGTGTGTGTGTGTGTGTGCGTGTGTGTGTGTGTCTGCGCGCGCGTTGCCATGCCAGCACAGTTTATAATTATTGTCCTACTGTGACTGACTTTCAGAGAGCATGTCTGAGAAGAGAGCAATGGTCCGCCTATTGTAGACCGCCTAGTGCCATATGTTTTACATTGTGAGAGTAGGGAGCCCCACATCGTCCAATTCTAGCAAAAGACGAGAATATGTCTTTGACCGTGTCGATCGAATGTGGTGGATCTACTCAACAAAGACTATTCAAGAAGAGGTACCCCTGCAAGCCTGGTTCATGAATGAACAGATGTGACAGGCATCAACGCCTTCACAATATCCCAGAACTTTGCTAGTTCTTGCACATCCAGAAAATGCTCATTCCTGCACTGGTCAATAAGCTTGTAGATAGTCATGGCGTCTGGTTGCTAAGTGGCAGCCAAGGAGAAGAGAAGGGTATAATTCTGTGAAAGAGTCTAAAAAGCAGTCGTTACTAGCCTAATCTTGCAACCATGGCTAGCAGCATATGTGTCAGCTTGGTGAAAAAGTGATGCTCATGGTCAGTACATATTTGTACTTGTTACTGTGTGTCATTCATCGTGACGGTCGAGTAATCCGATTATGCCAAAGCACATATTCCCAAAAAGCAGTTCCTCATGTGCCAAGTAACGTTGACACATTGCTTGTTATTGTAACTCTGTCATTATACGAAATTCCTTTGCAAGTAATTGAAGTTTTGCCAGAAATTGAGCTCATCCTTCGTAATTGCCGTTACGGGTATATTGTACTTTAGTTGCATATAGCCAACAATAGTGTATGGTGAATCCTAATGTGTTGTGTACATCATAAATGCCGCTAGTGATAGCCTGCACTGAAAACTAAAATTATACAACTATAATAACTTATATCATAGATCTTAGACATGGAAATGTATGCAGGTGTCAAATGACACCGTTTGGCCGTTCTAGGAGTACTGAAAGTGGTGGCCGTCCTAGGGTTAAAATGAGCGAGTTCTTTGTGCATTCTGATTCCAAAATTAACCAAAAAAGGAGCGGAAATAGACAACACATTGAAAGTATTATGAACTGGCTTACGTTCACAAAGTAAAACATAATATTATTAGCGATAGGAGAATGAAAAGATTGGACTGAGTCATTGTCCTTTTTGTTGTACCTTCGCGCACAGCATTCAGGACATAGCGGCATGCTCAGTGCTGCTACAATGTAACATGTGCATACCTGTACTATACTTTGAGAAGTACCCTTGCCATGATGATTTGATGCAATGTTTCAGCGCTTCTTTTTAAAGCGGAGCATCACGGACACTTCAATGGTCTCCTCCAGGGCGCTTCTTTGTACACAGTTGCGGAAAAGTTGCGAAGTAGTTGATGAAAATGAAGAAAGTTGCGAAAGTTGCGATTTCTTTCAAAACAGCAAAACTTTGCAAAAAAGTGGCGAGAATCTTTGGGAAAGCGCTAGTCACGGGACAAGGTAAAAGTTCAGATCTTCGATCAACGGAGTGGGGCCGTTCACACCCGTGGTCAGTTTCCCCTTGGCCATATGTTTGGCCATGAATTTGTGGTGGGGCAATTACAAAAATTATCTGTACATTTTGTATTACATTCTGTACTATATCTTGCATTCGCCATACACGATTTTCCGATGGGCACTGTCTGAAAATGCAGGTTGCGATGCACTCGTACCTCTAGGGTTCAGAGTTCTCGCCAAAGACAAAATCTACGCATGCGCGTCTTATAGCCATGGGATTTTTCCCTTGACAAATGCCATTGGGCCCACGGCCATGGCTTTGCAAAATATTTCCCGAGAGCTTCTTCCTTTCCCCCAGTACCATGGTATCCATAACAATGTTCCCATAACCATGGTTTTACCCGTGTGTGTGAATCCTCTATTACAAGATACACGAAATAGCCTTGGATGCATTTCCATACCCAACAGGTAGATTTCTCCCGCACAAACCTGAAAAGCACGCGCTCAAACCTGAGGTGACTACGCGGTCGAAAAGTAAAATGAGCTGCCTGGAAAACAGGTTGCAGCTAGAAATCGTACTCGGTCAATATCAAATACTTTATTCTTTGCTTGATCAGCTACGTGTTCACACCTTTAGGTCACACTGAGGGAAATGTTGAAAATAATCCGTGGTTACCATGGGCAGTTGCCGCTGTGCGGGAGATTTGAGAGATTTAATCCACTCGATGAAAATCAGCTCGAGGCCTCGCTTTTCCGCCGAAGATTATAATCATCCGCGGCTTCCACTGGATTTCTTTGAGTTTCCTTGTTTTTGATTGCGTTATGAAGTAGAGCTATACTATAGAGGCTGTGCTGATGCAGCTCTGGCTCAGAAGCAGGGTTGACAGACTGCCAGAAGCAAATGGTGACAAAAAATTGCTCGCGTGAGTGAGATTTTTTCATTGTGCGTATGCAGTGTGGCCGTGATGAAAAGAAGAAAAATTATTGCCGGTTTACAATCTGAGGATTGTTCCCTCAATGTGACCGGCCCCTTAGCGTGATGTCTATCTCCCTCATTTCGTTGCCCATGATATAATTCCTGTCTTAGTCATTTTAATTTTTGTTTTATTCATGAAGAGAAGGGACCGAAAACGGTCGGTTCGGAGTTTTTCTCAGTGTTCATTCCGACCTGTGTGGATTGCGCAGATGTATGGATCGTTTGCTCCCACACTGGAGCTCCTGCTATTCCGCCGATTTGACTTGACACTTGACTGACTCACGTATGCCATCCAGAGCACACGAGAAGTCCATCGAACCGTCGACTCGGCAAACCTGCAAGAAAGAGACAATGCCTGCTCAATACACAGTGTTTCGGGGAATTAACCCCTCATCAGTTGAGCTCATTCCAAAAAATCATCGCCCAAATCGCAACCACTAGTTCGTACTGTTGTGCCCAGCGCGGGCTGGCGACTAGCTGGTTTGGAGGTGACAGCTTTGTGAATGACCTAGGGTCCTCTACATCTGTTCGCACTGTCCAGGAGCGACGCTGACTCACGCTGCTATCTGGTGATCTGGTGTTCACGAAGTGTTTGTCGCTCTGGAAACGGAGCGTCTCTGTAAGTTTGTATCCCTGGTGATGTTTGTGCCTGGTAAGCACTATATAAGCGGTGCTCTTCAGGCACAATCTTCCTCAGCCTACTCAAGCTCAACTGATGAAACACCGTGTATTGAGCAGGATTTGGTGCTTTCTTTGCAGGTTTGCCGAGTCGAAGGTTCGTTGGACTTCTTGTGTGCTCTGGATGGCAGGCGCGAGTCTAATCAAACAAGTGACAAGTCAAATCGGCGGAATAGCGCGAGCTACAGCTTGGGAGCAAACTCATTCCTAAAACAAATCATCGCCGAAGTCACAACCACTATTTCGTCTCATTGCTTTATTCGTCCTTTGGTGTTGTTTGCATTCATGCAGCAGTCCGTCAAATTGGAAAGAAACGCCAAGGGCACAGATTTGGCACTGAGAAGACGACGCCAGAATAACATTGCGGCCGCACGACACCGATTGAAGAAGAAGAGGATTGTTGAGGGGTACATTCAGATAATCGAAAGACTGTCAGCTGAGATTTTGGAGCTTCGGTGGACAGTGCTACACCAGCAGAAAGAAATAGCTGATCTCAGTGCGCAGAAATTGGGAATGCACATTTATCCAAAATGAACAGAGCTTGAAAGCTCAGTGCCCTCGCTAGGCCATTCTCCCTAGGCCCTCTTGCATGTTATTCGAACTGCTGTAAATGCTGTTGCAATTGAGTATAGTATCGTATAGGAATAAGTACCGTGCAGACAATAATTTTCATAAAGCAATAAAAACGCATCGAATGAACATGGACAGGATGCAGAACTGGCCGAGGTGGAGCCGGGGACCGAGCGGAGGAAGAATCGGAGATTGACACAGATGAGGTATCGGAGGATGACATGAATGATGATGCTGCGGATGAAGGTGATGGTTAGTTAGATGGAGATGATGATCGTCAGAAGCCTGCTGTGTATTTGCAATTGTCAACTGACGCTAAGTGTTTGGAGGTGTATGATGATTTTTGTTTTTCTGGTTTGTGTCGTGCACGGTATCCCCGTCTGTTGAAAGTTCTTGAAGCTGTGTGCATTCGTTTGCGTAAGCCTGTGCTCTGTATAATCTCTCTCTCTGTTTTTTTGGTGCACAAAATGCATCTCTGGCGTTGATTGCCGTCTTGCTTACACTTCTTCCGCGCCTTTGATCTCGTACTCCCCTGTATGTACTAGTCTTGTGCAAACCCTCCTTCTAGTCTGTTTCATTTTGCCCCGAGATGTTTTGATGCATAGTGATTATGATGCTCATCATTCGCTCCCTTGTCACTAGACAGTTCTCTCCGTTTGGTGTAGCGAATTCAAATAAAGAAGTCAACAGCAACAAACAAAAGAAGCATGTTGTTGCGCTGAAATTGTTTTGTGAAGTTCTTCCCCTGTTTGTCCACAGTTTGTTTCTCTCACTTCACAGTTGTCACATTCTGGTTTTCTCAGCTTCTCTAGTGCCACCTACATGTACGTACCATGTGCAGGCAGGCACAGTGGGTTGGTCTAAGACCATGATTGAGAAACGAGAGGTAGATCTACCAGGTTCAAGTCCTGCTTGGCAGCGGAAGGATTTTTTCCAACCGTGCTGCGACCCACAGTTAATTGGGAACTCCTGGCCTGGCATGAGTAATACATGGATGTGGCAAATGGGATCGAGGCCTTTGGCCTCTGGTTGGTGGATCTGATCTATCCTCCGCCACTGTTTAGGAGCCGCATCTGACGCCTGTTCATGGGGTGGTGGCGTCCCACGGAAGCGGAAAGGTGATTCTTGACCAGGGTGTTGTACGTCTCCTTGTTCTTGACCTGCTCGGTACACAACGGTGTTTTTCACAGTAATACTAATACATATTACAGGGTGCGACAGAGCTCTCGGCCATTGAAGAAAAATGTTGAGTCACCTCCACCATTACACTGCGCTCTTTAGCCGACTAGACCCTCCTGCACACAACCATCACCATTGCGAGGACACTTCCATGGACGATATTGATAAACTCTTTCAGACAGCTGTTTCGCTAATACATAGCTCATCAGTGAAAGTAGATGTTGAATGATTAAAAATAGAGACCAAAATGCTCTTATATAGGGGGTTTCCACATACAAAACTGGCAAAGCTGAGGTGATAACGCAGGAAAAGGAAAGTGTGAAGTACTGTTGACGCGCATTGGACATGCATGCAGCGTCGGAAATTCGGCGCGGAAAATCAATCACTATTCAATGCAGAAATAACGTACCAGAATCAGAGTACTATGTAGCTAGTGAGAGTCTGTGTGCTATGTATTAGCGATGTATTAGCGAAACAGCTGTCTGAAGGAGTTTATCAATCTCGTCCACGGAAGTGTCCTCGCAATGGTGATGGTTGTGTGCAGGAGGGTCTAGTCGGCTAAAGAGTGCAGTGTAATGGTGGAGTTGACTCAACATTACTAATACACTGTAGACTAATGTTGTTATTTTTAAATTTTTTACCGCCCACCCCCGCACAAAGTCCTTGGCTACAAAAAAAAATTAAAATCTCTCCAAATCTCTCCATGCTGTTGTTTTTTTATTTTACTGTAAAACCCGAAAGTCTAACGAGACACAAAGTCTAACGTTTCAACGACCAATTCTTTTTCGTTATTTGAAAAAAAAAACGTTATCGCGAGAGGTCTGTGTAAAGATGCGCATACAGATGGGTGGCCAGCTAGCCAACGTTAAACTTTCTGCACGTAATCATGCCAAAATTACAAAAACGTTAAACTTTTTGGTTGTTAGACTTCCGGTTTTACAGTACTTCATCAGATTTACAGGCAAAGATAACTTCTCACCGGCCAGGGGCCAGTTGCTAGAAATGATGAAGAATGCCTATGAGAACACAGAGTTCGGCTTGGAAAAGGTGTTAGCGCTCGCTGTAGCCACAGTACGTATAATAATTATGGAAATATGCTATAGTGTCGGGTGGTGAGTCGGAAAGGTGTTATAACTCGCTGTAGCCAGTGCGTTGAAGTCCACGAAGTGATTTTACCTTCACAACAACGAACAGAGCTCCTTCCTGCAGACACGAGATAGTAAATTAGAAATAGTAGAGATGGTAAATTAGTAAGTAAGGGAAAGGATACGAAGAGGAAGAAATGATGTTGTTATCAGGAGCGTCGGTTCACAGGATGAAAAGGATAGATACGACTAGGGGAATATGGGGATCATTTAGCTTTGAGGGCTGGATTTCAAGTGCATTCTATTCACTTTCCAGCGGCTAAACGGCACTTTCGGACCGTAGTTTCAGTGAGCAAAGGATCCGGTGTTTGAAGGCATTCGCTATTATCCGAGATTTTGCGCAAAACGACTGTTTGTCCAAATGCGGAAGTATGGCACTAAAGCAGGGCATAGTACATGTGAAACCAGTTTTCGAGCGACATACAGTACCTTTATCAGTTCGGGGACCATGAGCCAGAATGCGAGATTAGGCAGGGCCTTCTTGCCCCGTGCACCACGGTGAAGGTACATGAAGGCCGTTCCAGCAACCAGGTATGTGACTATCAACAGTAGCAAGCTGAGCACCACAGGCACATGTAAGATATCATGGAAAAGACACAAGTAGTACAGTCAACTTTGCATATAACGACACCTCACGGGGCATCAGAAAAGTGTCCTTATTCGCGAAGTGTCCTTGCATCTGAAGTCTCACTTAAAAAATGAATTCAGGTAGATGGCACTTTGCTCTGGGCATGGAAATTCTATTGTTATTTGTGAGTCGTCGTTATATCCGCAGTCGTCTTTATCGAAGTTGACTGTATAGTAACTAAAGGAGTGGAGAGTAGGATCAACATTTTTACCAGGTAAGATGATCCATCCACTAGTGTAAAGTACGGACTGCTGTTGCAGATTATGAGCCATGTAGAACAAGTAAGGGTGGGTATTGATTGTTTAGTGGCGTGTATGGCCATTTTCTCCTACCGAGCAGAAGGAATTCTTTAAAGCAGCCCACCAATTTCCTCAGCATCCTGTTCACTCACCACACATCCATGATGGTTCCCAGACTTATCGAGTTGTGCTCCGGGTGTCGATGCGGCGAGGTCGGGCCGGCCGACGGAGGAGCTGGTTCGCGACTGGTAGGCTGAGGCTGTGGCGGCTGGGTTGTGTCTGGTGCAGGCGCTGGCTTTTGAACACATGCGTACTTTGAAGTCAACGTGAAGTGCTGAGCAATGATCAGAGTGAACAGGAACAGCCCGAAATCATAGTGCACAGCCGCCGGTTCTGTGCAACTACTGAGCAACTCACTACTTTGAAAGTCGGTGATAGATATCTCTAAGGTACAGGTGAGCCTAGGACGACCGTGGAATGGCGAGACTAACTTACGTAAAGACTAGTCTGACTTACGTAATGGCCTTCTGGTTTCTCCCCGTCCAGAGTGAGCTTGTGGTCCTGTCCCTGATCACAGGCAAGCTTGAACACTGACACCCTGCATAACAAACAGAGGATAGCATACTACATGATCAACATACAACAACCATAACGTTTTTTGCCTATGAGATCGCCGTTCCCATACGTAATGGTCGGCGGATTCTGCGTCATATCGAACTGCGTTTGCTGGCGACCACAGACAGAACTGCGTTGCTGGCATACCTGAACGGGCATAGAAATACGCAATGATAACAGTATTAGAGTTCTCCAGCTCGGCTGTGGATGTTCAATGGGACGTTATTCTCATAGTGATTGCTAGGTATTATTCTAGCATGAGTACTGGAGATAAAAGTACAGCTAAACCCCAAGCCACAAACTTGAATAGGACGAAATCCTGGGTTGACAGAAAACGAAACCTAGATCCAGGTCTCATATTGCACAATTTCACTGACATGAAATTCTCATGATTTGGTGAAAATCGAAGTTCTTGTAACCATTATTATGCGGTGCCCTCCACGTTTTCTTACATCCTGGCTGATGTGCCGACTATATTACATAAAATGTACTGTCGCAAGTAGTAACATGCCGGTGTTTGCTACTCGGATTCCTTCCCGACGGTACATTCTTAATATTATTATCATTCTCAGTTCAGTTCAGTTTGTTTATTTACGGATTCTCCAGAGGTAAATGGATACCTATCATGGGAGTCTCACCAAACCAATACAAAAATGAAAATAATATTATGTCTGGAGTGCAAAAAATTCAAAATCTGAGATTTGTTTAAGTCAAAGGAGAGGACGGACATCAATAGATTGAGAACCAGGGGTGCTAATAGAACACTGGGAAGGCACTAAAACAAAATAATTGCATTAGCGGATTCTCGCATCCATTCTAAATGGAACTCAGGACGGCAGAATTGACTGTGAGGATGACATTGTATTTGAGAGAGAGGGAAAAAATGAAAAAGAGCGGTGCATACAACGACCAAACGCCTGGGTCCTGTTCTTCGTCTTCTCTCTAGATCGTAGCATCTATTTCAAGTGCTCGTATGCTTTATGCAGCAGTGGTTTTCTCATCAGGCAGGCGTGCATTTCCTACAGTTGACAGTACGCAGAGCTCCGGTAGGCCACTCAGTGGCGGATCCAGAGATCTCTACAGGGGGTTCTAGTATAGTCAGAACTGAATAGCTGATACATGTACATGGGTACGCTTATGGCTGCCAGTGGTACATTTACGAAATTTAGGGGGTCCCGCGGAACCCCTCCTGGATCCGCCTCTGCCACTATGGCATAGATCATATGCACGCAGTGTTATTGGAATTCTGACAGACTGCATTGGTGACCGGCATATCCACAACACTCACTATCACTTACTGCTACGTTGTTAGAGCACTTGGTTTCCGTGAAGGCAGTGCACGGATTGAAGGAATACTCGTACCTCCCGCTCTTTACGTTTGTGAAGCTGCGCAGTCAAGCAAGACACACAACACAATCAATGATTGAACCATACACAAAACCACTATCCAGACTATTTCAGATTTGGACCAGAATGGGAAACACACTGACACCATGAAGCAAAGTTCTTTATGCCTGGAACCTTTTCGTGAAAAGTCCACTTTCCTACTATTAGTAAAGTAAAGAATGAGACAGGGTGGCAGGGTAGATCCACTTAATTTAGTACTGATATCACAGCCCACAGTTAAGCCTGTGTTAGAAATTCTGAAAGCGGGCTCCCCGGTAGTGCATTGTGTCAAGAGTACATACCCCCCCCCCCCCCCAGAGTGTGCAATGGTGCCCTGCCTCGAGACCGGCCTTGTGCTGGTGTGGAGTGTATTCATGACATCAGAAGATCCGATTCCGCTCGACCAAGACCTTATGCAGACATTGCAGAGCTGGATCGGCGTTGCACACTCTGGGGGTTATATACTCTTGATTGTGTACTCCACTTGCCTGCGCACCGCCAAGTCAAGGGTTCGAGCTCCCCCCCCCCCCAGCCGCATATCTAAAATTTAATGCAAATCCGCATGAAGCAGCTCACCAGATCGAGGTGTGGGACCCACGGTCCTCTTCACTTAGTACAGACGAGTCGAACGAGCTGTACTGGCGGTACCCCGAGCCGGCCTCACACCCCTATATGGAAAATTCCCCTTGTCCAACATCCAAGACAAAGCAAATACAATCATGTAGTAGTCATACTGGCCGAAGATTTAAAAAAAAAAATCATTCAGCATCGTGCATGGTCAGTCGCGTTTTCAAGGACAGCGTTCATTGTTGAGGCGACGGTTTCAAATAGGAGATACGTTGCAAACCGGAACGGACTCAGCATTCACTTTCTCTCTTGGTATTTTCATTAGAAACCAGACCTCACAGTGAGATTACGATGTGGTTTACTCCGAGCCAAAATTTCATGGCTCTGCGATGACCAGAAGCGCCATACCAAGCAGGTGAGTTTGACGTGTTGCTTTGCACTGCGACTTGAGTTTTACGTCTTTCGAAAAATCAACATCTTGTCGCAGGTAAACAGCGGCTCGCCTCTCGCAAATAAAGCACCGTATACCAATGAAAACTAATGGAAGCACACACAAGGCTTATTGTTACTCTGTACTGGGTGTCGTGGAGCGATAGCAATTACCTAATTTCAGAACTCAGAGTGAATTTGATGTGCACTCTAAAACCTTTCCGGTTTGGAGCCACCTCTGATTTGAAGCGAAAAATTGGGCAACTAACGTGTTACTTGGAGGCAATGGGTCAACACGAAGGAGTGACTCATTTCAACTGACTCTCGCCTCAGAGCAAACTTCAACATGCCAGTTTTCTTCCACAAACATATTTCGAGTGAACAATCCACGCTGATGATCGGTTTGGGTCAATACAAATTAGGCTGTCAAGCCGTTCTGGTATCGAACCGTCTCCTCTACAGTGCTGCTCAATGAAATCCAGTCACGTAACACAAGTCTGCGCCTTGTAACAGTCTGTGCCTTGTAACATTCCCCAGCCCAGTCAGTGTTCTAAGGTCTATGGCTGCGCGACGCCAGGGCGGTACTGTGTGACGGCTTGGATTTTATTGAGCAGTGCCGTAGTATTGGGACTTACAAGGGTTTAGAACTAGGTCCGTTGTTGTTACTGATTTCCATGAGGCTGATAAATCCACTGCCATCATCCATGTCGCAAACACACGACGTGCCCTCACGAACTTTGCAGTTGGCCGCGTTCGCCGGATGAATGGGCAGGAGGCACAGACTTGATGCCAAGATCAGCGACGCCGGGAGCATCGACGATGAGATCATTGACATTGTAAACATATATCCGGGCTCTGCGCTGCGTAAAGCAATCTAAAGTCTATAGTTTGAATCAATTCATCGTAATGCCATTGGGCTATAAACTCCCCTCACCCTACAAAACCGATATCGCGAGACAGCACACCCAAGAATACTAAATTAATTGTTTGTAAACTGAATTGCATATCTCGACTCTCGTGGACAAAACTCATCTTCCCGGCCTGCACGTGTTGCCCTCTAACACTGTGCTCATGCATACCTACTCACTGAGTAACTCAGTCAGACTGGATCAGCGAGTACGAGTACTGCTGGTTCGTCACGGCTGCATTGAATGTCATACGTGACGCTTGCCCAGCATTAGTCAGCACTACATTATAGTCGACAACAGTTCCCAATCTTGAATGTCAATTGAATGTCAACATTCAGTGTTGATCACGGGATATGGTGCGCCCTCACTATCAGCAATGTAGATCTAAAAACAAAACAAAACATTGCTACTAGATCTACTGACGTCGCCAGTGCTAATGGCAAGGTTATCGACGTAATCTCTTCGCTCCCTCTCCAATACACAACATGAAAATACTGAAAAATACGTGATTAGCACCCACAGAATTCCTCTCATAGAAGGCTCTGAGCGAGACAGCTAACTATGTGCACCTTACATTTGCCGGGGTAACGAGTATAGACTGCAAGCTACTTTGATGGAAGTAGATACATGATAGTGCACGCACATGCGCGCACAGACACACACACACAGGAACACACACACACACACACACACACACACTCACATACACACACACACACACACACACACACACACAGGAACACACACACACACACACACACACACACACACACACACACACATACACACACACACAGACACACACACACACACAGAGGACATATCCTTCCGCCGAGACGGCACCTAAAATTCTTGATTCCTGAGACAATTCAAGCCATACTCCATTAGATCCTGCTGAAGTATCAAGCAAATATGATGCAGAAGAATAGCAAAATAGTGAGGCTTGCGAGGCAAGTGAACTAGAGAGATAGAAAAATTGTATTGCGGCCATTGGATCAACAATGGACAAGTAGTTATTACAGAGTATCATAATTCATAATCTTTAGCAACAACTAAATTGCTGCGTAACTGCACACAAAGAGAACCTGCTCTGAGATAGCATTCCGTTATTTTTAAAATTATCTGCAGAATTGTCAATTCCAGCTTTCCAAGTCAACAGAATGCCATTTCGGTGGTATTTGCTATTTCCAGCCGGTACGGTTATCGTTACGGTAACTAAATTCTCAACGGCTGCTCTCACAGAAGCAAACAAGTCTGATAAAACCAAGGATCAAGTTGAAAAAAATCTCAACGATACAGCCAAGTGCAATGTAGGTCTCTACGTCACGGCTTGTAATGGAGGCTACGCCACGAGGGAGACAATTGTAGGGAGACAGTTGCAGTGCTGCAAGAAGTACGGTATGGACAGTATGGCGGTCACTGGGCACTGGCTAGATCTGTTCATAGCCTTCCCTACTTCGCCTTGCCTTGGAGACAATGAAAAGAGTACCCTCCTGGAGACAGAGACAACACATGTGCATCAACCAGAAGTCAATGTTGAGGTCAGGTCTACTCTCGTTAGTACGACATCAGTACAAAGACAAGCCTCATTATTTATAGACAACGAGACAGAATCCCCAGACGTCTGAAACGCGAACATTCATGTCCGGATAGTCGAAAAAACGTGTTATGGAACAAAAATTTGAAATCCCGGGGTCATCTACTAACAAGCGTAGACCTGTGATACGAGCTCCATGGGGAACATACACGCCTCAACTGAGATTGCACCCAGGATAGAGGACGGTTCTCTAGGATTCAGATGTTTGCTTCCCCACTACCATCACGTATCAAAGGTGTATGGGGGACATTGTTCAGCCTCCCCCCCCCCCCCCTCTCTACAATGCATGCAGGCAGCTTCCAAATGCATTGCGTGGTAAGGACATGCATTGCAATGCATTTCCCGTAGTGTTATAGGCAGTATAGTCCAATATTTGTTAGACACAATCCGCGGTTTGCGGGAGACTAAAGTAGACTGGGTGGTCCACATCTGCAGGATCGCCATCATCCTCTGTGATGAAGGCACAGATGCAGCTCCTCGCCGTGGTAGGTCGGTCGATCTGACCTACCACGAGTTCCAAGTGGTCATGGATTGAAAACACATTTGCTGCATCCATTGATTGCTAAAGCTTGATCACGACATTAGCTGTACACCCATACATCGGTCATCTGTACATCGAAGCTACGGGCACTTCGGTATACCAAGTACCCTTTGGGCGAGTTTCAGTGGAAATATTACTACTCCCTCCGTATACAAAACTTCATGACTCTTTTTCAACGGTGTTTTGAGCAAGAACCTGCTCTGCGAACCGCGCCAAAGGCTCTCATCGACAACCTATATTCATGTTGAGGTAAGTTTGGTTGATCCCGAACAGATTGTCCACGGAAGCCATGCGTGTGAGGACGTTGCCGACAGGAACTCACGAGTCAAAAAAAAAAAAACTAACACCTGCTTGCTAGAAATTGACATCGCTGCGAAGTGGAAATCGCTGCTGGAACACGGAGTCACGCGGAACTCGCTGCCCTGACTTGAAACTAGCCAGGCTCGTACTTGCGGTGCGCGGCCCCATAAATCCACGCAGCGTTAGAACATACTTATTTCGGTTCAGCTCGCACTGCAAGATGAAACATTTCAGTCGTCGTGCAACCAGCTCAGACTCCAGATCGGAATGTCGACAAGCTGGCTTTCTTCACTTCTCTCCAGTCAGACATCTCCTTAGTCGCCAAGGGGAATCGCAGGGACCTCCTAGAAGCCATTGTAGAATGCTGGGAGGATAATCCTGCCGAGAAAATGTGAATCTTGTGGATGTGCTTGTGCGACTCGTTTCACGGCATAATGGAGGTCGCGGGTTGGAACGACTGAATATAGTCCACACCGATTCGTACACAGCTCTGAAAATGAAGAGGACGTAGCCAGAGTCCCGCATCGTATCATCACTGCAGCTGAAAATAATTTGAACGAAATGCGAGCGGAAGCAGCGACTGTTGGTGATGCGGAGTCAGCGTCGTCATGTGACAATGACACGAGCGCCGAAGACTCTGAATAAACTCAATCTCATTCGTCTGACTTGCATTTTCTTTGTATACAGCTTGTAAATAGGTTAGACAATGCCACGAGTGTGATTCCAAGTCAAACGGAACAATTCCAGAGCTGTGCGCAGCCTTCAAAAAAAAGTCACGAAATTTTTGTATACAGAGGAAGTATTTTTTTGTCATTTTCGTGGAAAATAGTGACGTCACATTTTGAAGTGCCCCGTCCAGGATCTTCCCCCCCCCCCCCCCCCCGGGTAAACGAGGTATGAGTGTACTTGCGAATTCAAACGGCATCAGACTTACCTTGATCAAACCCGGCAAGGCTGCCCAGAAGGCATAGTTTGGAAGCGCCTGCCGACCTCTCTCTCCGCGATGTACGTACATGAACGCAAACCCAACCGCAAAGTACGTGGAAAGAAGAAATATGACACTGCAGCAGAGAAAATGCAGATAAGAGTAGAAAAAAAACGCATCACTAATATGTAACCGAGCGTGCAACTGTAACTTGAACACCAACTGATTACTCAGCCATCTCCCCCCCCCTCCCCCCCCCCCCACCCCCACCGAGTATGTTTTATAACCTTCCCCTCCCTGTAAGCAGGCATCGTTGAGTGACCTTGACTCAGGAAGATGCCATCGACAAGCTCTGATCGAAATTTGACTGGCATTGGCAATCACTTTGTAAGCCACATCTGATATTCGATCAGAAAAAGCCACAGAGCATGATAACATGCGTTCATAGAATGGAGTGAGTCTGTCTGGCCTTCATGGAAGGCTATACAAATTCCCTTGATACCTTCCACGTATCAATACTTGTTACACTGCCTTTCCCAGCTTGATAAAAGGGTCACCTTGCATTTGTCGTGTGGGACGACCGTGCATCAGTAAAATTGTGGGGATATCAACAAATATGGTCAGAAATTTATTGGTCCTCCACATATTTTCACATTTTGGGGCTTACTGGAAAGCTCTTTTCTTGCTTGTCATCTTGCTTGCGCTTCCAGAGAATACAGGACACCGAGGATGCCCCTAGCCACGTCAACAGTGTCCCTATCAAATTGCAGCGGACCATCAAGACCCTTGCACAACAATATTCTTCGCTTTTGTGCTCATACTCAACAATTCAAGGTACAATGCAGTCGTGAGTTTCAAGCGATTCAAACGGTGTACCCTGAGGCATGCTGCCCTTGACACGCCATCGGAAATCCCCGTGATTGCCTTGAATGCGGGAAAAGGATAGCTGGGCGGAAACTAAGAGAAAACGGTTCAGATCGAAGTCTCTCATTTAGTTTGTAGCCGCTCGATCTATTTTTTAGTTATCAGCACAATGGAATGAAAGCCCTTTCCAAGACGGTTCCAATTAGCTAGTGATCACGGAAATGGGACTTTTCATTCCTGAGTAATGACAGCTTGTGCAGTGTGTTATCCAGTGCATACAGTATGCATATTGTACGCAAAGACCACCACGAGTATACTCGTCAAAACCCAAACAAGTTGGGGTTTGCATGACGAGTACTGTACACCGCCCAATATTCTCGTCACTAAATTTTCGCGATTTCTTAGAGCCAGCGAGTTTGCGATGGCAAAAGTTCGCGAAGCACGGGAGTCACGTACATACACACACACTGTTGAAATTAGATTTCACGATGGTTAATATTCGCGTTATGCTCTTCTCGCGAAAATAGCGAACATTAATCCGTCGCGAATATTAGGCAGTTTCCAGTATCCTCATCATAAACCCAGAAAGGGTCAAGATTCCTTGCTGACCTGATGTCTAAGATAGTTCCCAGACTGACGATGTTGTGCTCGGGAGAGCGTCTTTGACTGGTTGTCCAGGCTGGGGGTGGTTCTTGTGTGGGCCCTGGTGGTGGCGCCTGTGTGGTTGCTGGCGGTGCTGGTTTCTGGACGCAGGCGTAGTTCGACGTTAATGTGTATTGCTGGAAGGACAAGGACAATGACAAAGAAGGGGATTCATAAGAAAAATAAAGGCATATAAAGCAATCAAGTCAAGGAAAAACGTATTTAATCAACACTAAGAGTGAAACTTTTTCTTGAGATAATTATTGAGCACCAAGGACAGGATCTTGTTTTCAGGGGACCATTCAATGGGTTGTGATGAATTGATAGAGCACCTGTTTGCGTTGCGATTGGCTGCGAACAATGCAATGCTAAAAAAAAAGGTCGTAAAACCAGGGGCACCGGACACGTAACTGCCATTATGGTATTGACAGTGCCACTTGTTGCCCCTGGTAACCTGTGAATCAATAAAATGAACTGATTTGGGTTCTAAAAATTAAAAAGACGACCAAAAATTAATTGGAAAATTCTGCGGAGCCACCCCCCACCCCCGACGAGCAAATTGTGCCTCAGATGGCTGACATCACCGCCCTTAATTTATTAACTTCCGACACCCCTGCAACCAAATGCGATATTATATAAATGAAAATGTCATAATATTAGAACACACTGGTCAATGACAAAGCCCCCCCCCCCCCCGGTATGGTGTGTTTCCCTCCACTAAAATAGGACGCTGACACTTCAGGAGTATAATATACCTGTGCAAAACATGCAGCTATGGCCCTGGAACAAATAGAGTTTGCTGCTGTGGTAACTTGCAGCTTCAGGCTGTATACGGCAGCGGCATGACATGATTACTTACATATGTTCCCTTGGGATCCTCTTTGCTCCACTTCATGTCATGATCGGTGCTCAGATCACACACAAGGGCTACGACGGACTTCCTGAGCAAACATTCATTCATACACAAGCCAGCGACCAGTTGACAACGACTTTAATCATCATCAAAAAACAACATCAAAGGGAACGGTAAGGGTGGAGGCTATAAAAGAGAAAGGTTCCGTGCTGAAGGGCCGAGCTACTTAGAAAAAGAAGAGAGGGTGGTAGCGTTGTGAGTTGTTACCCTGAGTTTCATCCACAAGTAGGCTGTCATTAGACAGCAGGGTTGAATCTATGTTCAGGACTACTAAAATGTGCCGTGTACAATCACATAGAGGCGTGACTCGAATAACAGCCGGTTTTTCAAAGCGTGCCGTGCCGTGACACAGATTTGAATAGAATCGTTGCCGCGCACACGTGTGACAGTACGCACTGCTCAGTGTACACGTAGACTGTAGTCCACGGTGCAGGAATGATTCGCGGTGTAAAAGTAGCTTGTTGTCCACGGTGCAGGGATACATCACTGGGTGCAAGTAGACTGCAGGCCACGGTGTAGGCATGCATCACTACGCGCAAGTAGCAAGGGGCACACTACACAGAATCAGGTTTGGAATAGAAGAGAAGCATGATTTGAACCTGGCCTATGCAGCTGTAGGCACCTGCATTTCAACATGACATTTCGTTATGGTACAAAACAAACTATTTCTATTGACACGAGAAACGCTGCAAGGCTGTAGCCAAGTCAAACAATGAGCTATAGAAACACAAATGAACAATAATTTTATCACGAACACAAACAAGTTGTGGAATTCTTACCGAGGGCCGAATGTCGAAAATACATCTCCTCCCGTGTACGTTATTGTCGGTGGGTTGACGGTCGTGTCGATCTTGGCATTGGGTTGACGACCGCAGGAATCGCCATGGTTTTGACATACCTGCAGCATGCGTAACAAAGATCCACATTAAGTGGCAAAAGCAGGCTCGGAAGAATGATATGCGATACCCAAAATGTAATGGCACCCACACCATATCTCCGGGATTGAAAGAATGCTAAAGAAAAATGAGAGAGGGGAGTTTCAGGCTTGTTTGGATTAACCCCTTGAGTGCGGGGCTGTTTGTCAGTGCACCACGTAAGAAAATGGTCTCTTTTGAAATTTTTCAAACCTCGGCTATGTCAAGTCTGGAAATCTTTGGGAGCCACAACCACAGGCAGTGGTAGGTAGGACCCAGACCAGCACTCGACAACAAGAACAAAAGCGAAAATCGGCCAAGGCACGCCTGGCCGAGCGGCATACTCAGGTCGATTTTTGAGAAATTGCAAGCATATGCACTGCAACGGTTGCCTAAGTTCTTACTCAGTGAAAACTAGGGAGTCGTAACAGGTTAAAGAAAACAACACGAGATCACAGCATCCGAAATAATGTGCGTTCAACTGGGGTGGAGTTTTTCCTAACCCGTGGTCTACCCAAAGTGCGATCCCTACAATGGATTAAAAGCCTGCTGACCCGAAACGAGGCCCAGGAATAAGCGGCCATGGATGAACTGGCCTTGCTGCAAGGGATACTAGAACTGGCAGGCCGGGAACGACTAAAAACGTTGCTTCATGTTTCAGTCTCCCTTGTTATCTTCCTGGATTTTCTATTTTTTGCCAGCTAGCTGGCCTCGGCGTACACCGCAGACACACCCACACACAACAGAAGGATACAGATCACAGTAGTAGTGTGGTCTTTGTTCACTCACGGTGGAAGATGGAAGAGCTTAGCGTAGTGCATACATGAGCATGAAGAAGGGCATGTCACCTCACACATATACATGTACACGTATGTACCAGACCAACATGATGCAAAAAGTGAACCACTGTGGTGAATGGGGCCGCCGGATAATTAACCAGCCCGAAGCTGGCGGAAAAACCTCAGGACCCCGGCGGAGGCACAACCCTGAGGAAAAACCGGTTAGAATAACCCCATAAGAGAAATGAAAAAAAACGTAGCCTGCATGACCTGTCCCGAAGTGAGAATAAAGGGGAGGACGGGTGGGAAACTACAACGGAGAGAGAAAGACCACGATGAAGAGAAAAGTTTGAGAACACTGACAAAAAACCAGCTGACGCAATCCTGGTGCCGTAACTATGGTGAAAATGCTGGCAAAAAATACATTTTTCGTTTCATTCGCTACGCTCAGCCATCGAAAAATAACACTTTATTCATTTTTATATTTTTGGATGCTAGATTTCACTGGTAGAAACTATGCAGATACAGCATTCAATGGCACTCACCGCATTGTCTTTCACACAATGGCCATCGTCAAATCCTTTGCAGGGATTATACGAGTAGAACCACCTACTCGACGGCTGCGGTATGTTCGGAAAACTGTAAGGAAGCATAATGGCGACAAAGGTAAGACATATTGAGAAAGCGCAAAAGCAAACTCATTTTCCAATTTGCAGAACTACATGTATATTAACTGTGGGAGGTGACATAGAGTTTATCGAACCCCGAACACAACATAATCCAGTTTTGTCGCTCTCCAGATATCTGTGCGCTCGTGTCGCCTCATCGGGAAACTAGTCTCGTCCCAAGGACGAGATCGCTGCTCCGTGTCTGCAATAAGCATCAGCTACAAACAGTTCTCCACCCCCCCCCCCCCCTCCCCGTACGGCCCCCAACTTTCTCCAGCGCTCGTTTCCAAATGGTGGGGTGGATTAATGGAACAGGTTGCTGCAAGACATGTTCCCGGCGCTGATGCCAGCTAAAATCTCTCCAATCCTTCAAGACGAAGGTCCACCACCACTTCCGTCAAACTAATTGGCTCTGGGCATCGGACTTCTTGTGAGGCTATGTCACCCGTTAATGAGCAACTTCCCTCGTCCATTATCTCTTTCTTGTTTTTTATTATTAATCATTCTCTTTCTTGTGGCTCTCTTTCTCTTTTGTCACTTGATCTAACTCCCTCCTTAGCTGCATTCCTATCGATGCCTGGTCATAGGCACTGATTCCGAGACCTCACCATCCACATCGGCACATCATCCCTACTCCCCTTTGTCTTGTTGTCTAGTGTCACTTCAGTTGTCCTCTTTACCTACTTGTTACTAGTGCAGTCTTTGCTAGCAAAAAAAAGAAAAAAAGAAAAAAAGACAAAAGTAATGACCTCAAACTGTACTTTGTGTTCTGTGAGTTAACCCATTCAGCGCTACTAGGCCTTGCCTATGGTACTCTGCATATAAAATGCTAAAAACAGGGCCAATAGCAAGTTCTAAAACTCCAGGGTTCTGGCAACTGGGGTTCTCAAATATTTTGGAAATGATTGCCAAGACTATCAACTACAGGGTGACAGAATCGATACAGTCCCCAAAAAGAATAGCGCCTCACAATAGGGGACGCAAGTTTGCTCAAATTGCGTGAAATACGCCAAATGCGTGAAATTGCAGCTGAAAGATCGCTGAAAAGAGAAGAAAAAAAAACGCGTAGTGTTTTCAAGCTGGATTCGTACCAACGACCTATCGTACAAGAGGCAGGATCACCAACCAACTGACTAACAGTGCTTTTACACACCAGACAATGCCAGAAATCACTATATATCCCATGACGTCTATAGACGTCATCCCGCGCATGGGGGGCATTTTCAATGACGTCTATAGACGTCATCAGCGTTCAATGGGTTAATCCAATACCATGTACAGTGGAGATCGGATATAACAACCTTTCATATAACAACAGATCGAGTTTAGCAACAAAATCCTGTCGCTCTAATCGTTTAGCAAGTCTGTTGCGTACATTTTAGATCGGGTATAACAACAGTGAAAATGGCGACAGATCGGATTTACTGGCACATTTTTGTTGCCCAAAGACCTGAAAATACAGCGAAATAATGGGCTTTTTCCTGGCGGAGGGCCTTCAATAGATGTGTTTCAACGAATTTCAGACCAAAAATGAATAAAGGGCCGTTTTCGCCAAATAATACCGTAAAAGTCCGTAAATAAGTACCTGCCCGAAAGAAATACCCCCTTCATTATTTTGGCTCTGTCTGTTGAAGTCAAGTCCAGCCCGATAAACATACTGCCCGAAATAAGTACCGGTACGGTGCGCACATGCAGCACGTAGCATGTACATCGACATGAAAATGACTTCTCCACTACACACAAGTCAGGTCCGAAAATTAGTTCGCGCCCGAAAGTCAGTACCCGCCCGAAAGTTAGTACGGGTGTGGTCACTAAATTCGAAAGTAAATACGTACGTATTTACGGACTTTTACGGTATGGACTTGACACCTAGAATTAAAATAATGGTTTTTCAGCTGTCAACAAATTGCAAAATGAAACCCTTCCACCCACCCAACCACCCAAAAATGAAAATTTTCAGTGTTCCTGTAAAACGTGGATAATCATGGACAGCCCATTATGCGCAAATCAATTGCTGCACCTGCCAACATCAAGGATCACCTAGGAAATCCCCCAATTCTGACTGGTGGAGTGGTGACACCACATCTCGTGCTGGTACGGAGCTATCACACGTGTTCTCTAGCTTTGGCCTCCAGCAGCTTGTCAATTTCCCCACCCGTGTCGCTCCGAATGGAAGACTGTCCTGTCTGGACTTGCTTGCTACGAACCGCCCCCTCTCTGTACGCTCTGTTGACGATGCTGCCCCGCTTGCTGCATCGGATCATTTGCAAGTCATTACAACGCTAGCCTACAACATTGCCACTGACGAACCGCCCCCTCTCTGTACGCTCTGTTGACGATGCTGCCCCGCTTGCTGCATCGGATCATTTGCAAGTCATTACAACGCTAGCCTACAACATTGCCACTGCTAACACCTCTTACAACTGCTCTCAGACTCCTACCCCTCCGCGACATGCCTTCCGCAAGGTTACACCCTCCACTTGGTCAATCATCAACTCTGCACTTTTTGCCTGTGACTGGCATCTTTTATTCACCTCCACTACTGTTGATGAAGCTGTGGAGAAGTTCACCACAGTTCTTGATGACGTGCTCTCCTTCTATGTGCCACAATACGGAGCAAGACCCGCTACACCCAAACATGGCAGCCACCACCCTCGTCAGTCCAGCCGTAACCCCAAGATCCCTTGGCTCGACAAAGATCTCCAAGGTGCAATTAAACTCAAATACGACTACTATAGCTTAAGTAAGAAGTACTCCACCTATGCTAATATTTCTTTATACAAAAAACAGCGCAATCTGGTGAAGTCATTGTCACGTTCTAAGTATCGAGCATATTTACGTTCGCTCACTACCACCCTATCTCAACCCTCTTCCAGGCCTAACCTGTATACCTTTGTTCGCACTCAAAGGACAACTAGTACACGTCAAGACATACCACCGTTATTAGCTTCCAATGGTTCGATGGTGACTGACCCCAAGTCTATAGCTAATACTCTCAATACGCAATTCACATCAGCTGGTATTCCAGACGACCATTCCTCTCCAATACCACCTCTGCAACGTTCTGCGACTGTGTCTTCTGATCTGCGCTCTATACATACCACCACATCATCTGTTCGCACCTACCTAAAAAGACTAAAAGGCAACAAAAGCCCTGGTCCTGATGCCCTACCAAATGAAGTTCTCAAAGTTCTGGCTCCATCTCTGGCGTACCCACTGTGCCTTATATTCAACCTTTCCTACTCCTCCGGCGTATTTCCTGATTGTTGGAAGATCGCTAAGGTCACGCCCATCTACAAGTGTAAAGGCTCCCGATCACAAGCCTCAAACTATCGTCCAATATCTCTTCTCTGCTCCCTTTCAAAAGTATGTGAAAAGGTATTTTACGACCAGTTGTATTGCCACATTTCACCATGCCTTGGCCCTTCCCAATCTGGCTTTCGCCGCAACGACTCAACCTCTGACCAACTAGCTCGTCTAGTACAAGACATTGCCACCCTTCGTGATGCTCGACACCATCTTGCTCTCTGTTTCTTTGACAGGCCTTTGATACTGTCTGGCATCGTGGCCTCCTTGCCAAGCTACATATTGTCTTTGGTGTGTCTGGCCCTGCTCTGTCCTGGCTGGAGTCCTATCTGAGTAGCCGATCCCAGTTTGTTTCTGCCCTCTCCATCAACTCTGATCCTCTACCAGTGTCTTCTGGAGTTCCCCAAGGCTCCATACTTGGACCTCTTTTGTTCGTAGCATACGTAAATGATTTACCCTCTATAGACCCAGGTGTCTCGTTATTTGCTGATGATACAACCCTACTGTCAGCATCCTCGTCCTCAGCGGCTCTTGTACCTCGAGTGTCGGCTCAGATATGCAGTGTCCTACGCTGGATGCAAACATGGCGACTTAGACCCAACCTGACTAAAACCGAAATAATGTTCCTTCCCCCAATCTCATCCATGTCACTTTTACACCATCCTGATTTCCCAGAACCCATAAAGGTTGTTTCCAACCATAAACACATGGGAATAATGCTTGATGATCGTCTCTCTTGGTCTTTCCATATTGATGCTCTTTGCAGCCGTTCAAGCTCTGCCCTAGGTGTTATACGTTCCCATTGTTTCCATCTTCCTTTCAAATGTAAAATTTTGTTTTACAAACTGTACATCCTGCCTCTTTTCATGTACGCTGCTGTTAGCTGGTGTGGCTTGTCCTCGGTTCTCGCTGAGCATCTCGAAATCCACCATAGAAAACTTCTTCGTATCCTGTTTAGTCTACCCCCTCTCTACCCTTCTGCTTCCCTGTATGTCCTTGCAAATGCTTGCCCACTGTCGACCCACCGTCAAAAATTAATTTGCACTTTTGCTCACAAATTTAAACTAGCTCTACATCCTCCTCATCTTAACGTGTATAACTGGTTCCGAATCACAGATGGCTCCCAGACAAGATGCTCTGTTGCCCTCCCCTTGGCTAAAACGTCCTCCCTTGTACGCTCTCCACTCTTTGTTGCTTACTCTGCTTGGCTTGCGCTGCCCGCTACTACGCGAAATGCCAGTACCCTGGACGCATTTAAATCTGCTCACTAGATTCACCATCACCTGTCCCTCCCATGCTTCTCCGTCTTGACCATTACTTTTCTTCTTTTATTCACCATGGTTGGTTAACACCCACATCTCCCGTACTGGCTGATTTTCTTCTCATGCCATGAGGTGTTGTCTATAATAATAATAATAATAATCATTTCTCTCTCACAACATGCACTGGTACATGCACATACTGTAGTAGACCTATGCATCTGTCAAGCGGCCACTGGGTGCTGGTCTTGCAGCCGCAAGCGCTGCTGGTCCATTTCTACAGTGTATGGTAACCATGGTAACTACTGCCATGAACATGGAAATCCACAATGGTCCGGCACTCTCAGTGCGTACAGAACATAATGCATGCACAGCGCATATGTTGATTGCATGCAAACTCATGGCTGCATGGCTAGCGCACTGAGGCCGCTTGACCCCCCCCCCCCCGACTGGGATTTCCATGTTCACGACAGTACAAGGGCTCATGTACATGTATGTACATGTATGTGCTGAAGCAGTAAGGACTACGCTGTTATGGCGCCAGCCACAGTCATCCCATCGGATTTCAATGTCCATGACAGTACATTAGTCATGTGGCCTCCAGTGCCCGTTTGCACGTCACAAATGAGTGTACAGTGCTGCCCTACAAGTAAATCCGATCGCATGAGTGAAGTACACACACAATGCACTATGAAGCCAACACATTCCAACACCGAAGCGCCCACTCGTCCAGCGCGCGAAGCTAGTTGAACCACTCGACCGGATTTGATTGATCAGCACTAGACAACAATTCGTGTAATATGTACGGTAACAACAACAACAACAGATACACTAGAGAGGCTTTGCACATTTTCTACCCCACACAAATACTGTTTGAATGGACGGAACTGCGACAAAAATAAAATGCACAAGAGTGGATATGAACCCTGATGCACAAATTCAATGGCTACTCACAAAGGCTTGGGATTGTCTCCGTTGTTACTGATCAAAGAGAGATCAATGAAGCCACTGCCGTCCGCCATATCACAAGCGCACGTCGAACCAGATCTCATATTGCACTGAGCAGCGGCCCAAGCGCCCTGCACCGCACCGCTAAGAAATAGAAAAGCTATCAGCATGGTTGACAACGAGCTCCGGTATGAACTGCTGTCTCCGGCTACGGTCCCTCTCAACGGACTTTGTGGTCGAGTCGCCACTCCGATTCTCTCAGTTCTCCGGTGCATGCACCGTTGAGAGACTACGAAAGAAACTAGTGATCGTCGCCAATGAAAACCTTGTGGTGTGAAGCAAAACAAAAATATTCCTTCGGCTGTTTTTGCTGTCGGTCTCAATATTATACGAGTAGATCTATGATTGTTTGCGATCTCTAGTACAGAAAGTGTCAGTGGCAGCGCCAGTAGTGGTGACGTGACCTGCCAACACCAAAACAAACTACACACGCTCGGACTTCACGAATCACAGACTCAGTGCAGTCTCCCAGTTCAGTCCCGACGTTCGTCCGTGTAATAGACCAATCCCGAAAAGATTGTCTGGGTTCGAAAGGGGGCATGTCAACTGAGAGTACACTGTACAACACATACATGGCACTACCTGATCAGCATGCGGCACAGGACGTGTTTGATAGTTCGCGTGTGACTGCGAGGGTAAGTACACGGTTTTCTCGTTAGTTGCATGCAAGAGAGACGATGCGACAGAAAGCAAAGCCCTTTGTAGTTTTCTCTCTCGCACTGGTAATGGTCTGCTGTTGGAGTGAAAATGCTAAGACATAATCCTTGTTTCGCTCTTCTGTGTAGTGTGAAGAGGTCAACGAACATGTAGAGCTCACTTTGATGAAGTAGGCAAGGCTGTGAGCGCTGTGGCTCAAAGCGATAGGCCCTAAATCTTACGAGATATTTCGAGTGCTATTGTTTGTTGCGAGCGCTTCGTCTTCGATGAGTCCTGCCTCTTTCCTGGCAGCTGCCCTCCTATAGGATCAACCACGAAGTGACTGTACTCATCTGCAGCCGATCAATGTTATATTGCACAAGAAGATATCGTTTTCGCCAAGCCAGTGCCCCGCCAAAGACCATCGCCGTGTCACACCGTCGGAACGAGTTCATGATGAGAAACATCATTCGCGCGAGCGTGATGAAGAACTATTTCGAAAGACAACAGTCATAGTCTTTACCCCCGGGGCGACAACTATGTGCACGTCCTGCAAGGGGAGAATGTCACCAGCGACATCAACGAAGACGACGGCAGTCGGAAACCTGGAGTCAGCGGAGGTCGTCAAGCTCCTCCGCGACCCGGTACATGTACAGTATAGGTGACATGTCGACACGAGCGTGCGGAAACACAGCATACACTGTAGTAATGTTGCGAGAGTTTGCGGAAGGAGTCCAAGTCGGGAAATCCATCAGCTCCAAAAGCTACCTGCAGGTGGGCGATGAGACTCCAGCTTCAGACTACAACAGTCAGGACTTGTAAATAGTTGAACTTTGTGAAGCAGCAGATCGAGAAGTCAGCTGAAATCGTAGCTGTTGCAGTATGTCGGCGCTATGTAGCTTGCATTTTTTACGGAGAGTCGATCGCCAAGCGAATGTTTCTCTCCTCACCGAGAGCTATCTAGCCTCCAAACTCCGTCAGGGTCTGCCTAAGGTACCGAAGGTCCTTTAACTAGCTGCTGGCAGGACTCCATCAAATCCTCTAGCTTCAGCTCGGCGAGCAAAAGTCTCTCTCTCCTCCGCCATGAGCTGACACACACAAACTGAATACAAAACGATGCACTTCACACTTGCTGGCTTGCACGCGTGCCCCCTTTCACGAACCCAGACAATCTTTTCGGGATTGGTCTATTGTGCAGGTGTGAAGTCATGCCGCTTTGCCCACCCATTGCTGCACCCCTCCAACCCCCATTTTTCGATGATGTACATGACTGATTGACTTAAAAAAAGTCTTTGTACTGTCGTCGACGTGCCACCAGGCATGGTGATCATGGTGATGGCCTGGCGCAAGCGAATCCTCTGGTTGTGACTCGCCAGCGATTTGGGCGACCTTGACTCTCACCTTATAATGTACAAGGCTCTGCCGTACAATACATGGGTACTGTATACTGAGCACTCATCGGACAGTGAAGCACACCACTTGACTATACATGATTGTATCATGAAATCTAAGAATAGCAACTATTTTTTTAAAGGTTTAGATGTGCTCCATAGAAGTTTTAAAGTTAAACGTAACATTAAACGTAACATTAAACGTATGTGGCAAATACATAAATAATAATTGCACACAAAAGGCACAATCACAATCAAAGGCAGAATCATCAGGCGACTTTAGTCGCCTGATGATTCTGCTTTGAGCAAGAAACTCCGAGTTTCGACAACTCTGTAAACCTACATTGTGCTTTTATGTGTAATAGTGCTCCACATTATTGTGTCGAGCCCTCTCCGCTGGCAGAAGGAAGTTTTTCTCTTTGTAAATAATAATTATGTAGATACTGATAGTACACTGTTGTGAATTCCAGCAGAAATCCAAGATACTGATAGCATGCGTATGCGTATGTGAAGACACAGTACATGTATATTGGAATTTCTACTATGGTACATGTACCAGAAATGCAGCGGTGAAGTCAAGGAATTTCCTCTATTTTAAAATAATATAATTTAGGCTGGGATTCAAGTATAGTAATATATCAGAGCCATAAACGGTATGCAACTGTCAATAATAGACATAATGAGGTCCAGTGCACAATGAGGACCTTTTTCAATTCGAGCAGCGAAGCAGCCAAGCAACCAAGCTGGCTCAGGAACATTTTCCGTGAATTGTGGCATTTCAAAAATGAGATCAGCAAGAGGCGATTGTTCTGCGTATTGAAAATCGTGACAAACCGTCCTCAGTTTCTCAATACACGAGAGAGAGGGCGGAGTGTGTTTCCGATAGGTTGTGGAAATGTGCAGACACGCCTTCTTCTTGCCATAGGGTTGGTTTGCTTCTTCAATTCCCTGGTTTATATCTGGTCATATCCAGACCGATAGCCGTGAGATTTGAATCCGTGCAGGATGAAGAGGAAGCCCTCCTAGGACCACACCGAAACACGGAAAAGAACAAACAAAGAATGCATACCTTTACAGTATTCAGGCATAATACAAACATGGTGAGTCGACCCTACTCCCGCGGAGACTAGAGTGGGCAGCAGTGAGACTAGAGGTGAGTCGGGTAGTATCTTCTTTGCGTAGCGGGTTCCGTTAGTTTTCCACCGGTAGCACTGGTACCCGATCGGGTAATGTTTCCATGGTAACACCACAATGCACCCCTTCCCTTACACACTGGCTAGCCATGCGCAGTATGACATGAAGTTGTGCACGTGCGCTGTACATGATGTCATCTGCGTCTTCGGGTTTTTGAGTACTATTCTGTACCCGCCTACCCGAGGTCCTCACGGGTAGCACGGCTACCCGGCTACTCGTGTGCACCACTGGGTGAGACCCACATCGTTATACATTCCGGTTGCCTGTGTAATGTCCATAGATAACCTAAGTCTCAGACATCAACTAATCCCTTTCCAGGGAAGTGCCCGACTGAAAAGGCAAAACTGGACGAAACTCGGATCGGCTTGCATGCACGTGTGCAAGTCCATGCATCACCAGGTTAATGAGCGAAGACCACTCTTTCAAACTGGTAAAGAAAACAGGCAAATAATGCCCTCATTCCCGAATAGAGCTAGCCAAACGAATCACGCATACCCACAAAGAAAACAATGTTGTCTTTTGATGACATGATGTGACCCAGTGCATACCTTGACAAGGCCGGGAATGGCTACCCAGAATGCATAGTTTGGCAACATTTCACGTCCCCTCGCTTCACGTCGTACAAACATGAACGTCGATCCCATGCTGAGGTACAGTATAATTGCCGCCAAAGCACTGTGAAAGATGGAGAGAAAAAACAAACAGAACACCATCAGAATTCTTGTAACGAGACAGACAGATACCGTATTTTCCCGATTGGAAAGTAACACCCATTTCTCAGGTCCACGTCATACCGTTTCAATATATTCAATTCGGTAGTGGGTCATGCTTGATTTTAGGTCACATCCCCCAAGTTTTCCCTGTTGTGGAGTTCGAAATGGTGTGACTTATATCAGGGGAAATACAGTACTTGGCTGCTCAAGAATTGTAGCGTAATGCAGGGTGCATTAATAAAGCACGTTACTTCACCATCAGTTCAGTAAAACCTTTGTTTGCAGGACCCTGCATCAATCGGAATCCAGTATTGACAACACAACATGATCAAGCAATGACGTGCTGTGGATCGAACATGCATCCCTGGGTCTAGCGGCATAATTTTTTATCAATACAGCTTTCACTGCACCAACGTCGTCCGGTTAGGGGAGGTTTTACTGTGTTAAGTGTACTGACAATCAGTACCAAAATATGCAAGCACGATTACATTAACACGCTCACAAACACGAGCCAGACACACACACACACACACACACACACACACACACATACACTTCCCCGCACACACACACACACACACGCGCGCGCACACACACACCATTGGACCATTGGACGCCCATCGCCAGAGGCGATGATAGCGATGCTACAGCAGAAGCCATAGCAGCTTGTGCTGGGATTGCACCATTCAACAGCTTGCAAGGCTGAAGAATTGACCACCACTATTCAGCCTGGTCTACACCACACAGCTATGAAGTGGCTTTTTCTGGCCAGTGAATCCCTACTTTTTGGTCTTTTTAATTTTTTTTTTTTTTTTTTTTTTTTAATTTTTTTTCACGCACACACACCACACCACATACTCCGGCATGCACTGGCTGTTGGTAACCACCCAGGAGAATGAAAGAAAAGTCAGGAGGAGTCTGAGAAAGAGAAGAAAGACGTGTGTGACCATAATCGTCGGGAATCGAACCCGCAACCTATCGATTGGAAATCGCTGCACATACCACTGCACCATATGGGACACACAAAGCACACACACACACACACACACACACACACACACACACACACACACACTTACCTGCGCGCATACACACACACACACACACACACACACACACACACACACACACTTACCCGCACACACTCACTCCCATTGCCACATCTACCCGCTATCATGTATTACAATACATGAGTCCATGATCATGACAAAGGGGGAGGCAGTTACAGTAAGCTGTACTTGTAAAACAATTGCTGGCTTTCGTCTCCATCCTACCAGCTGCAACTGGCACAGCATTGGACGATTAGACCTACAATGGAAGCATACATTACATGCATTAAACTGGGTGTGTGTGTGGGGGGGGGGGGGGGTCGTCGGACCATATTGCGAGGCAAACTAATTTCCTTAACCCCTTGCACAGACCAATCGCACTGGCACTGCCGTTACCGGCATGACGACTTTCAGACGCTAGTATTCTGCTGCTCACCTAACATCTATGATCGTTCCCAGGCTGATGCTGTTGTGCTCGGGAGAGCGTCTTGCACTTGTTGTGGGCCCTGGCGGTGGTGCTTGTGTGGTCCCTGGTTTCTGAACGCAAGCGTATTTCGAAGTCAATGTGTATTGCTGAAAGGAAGAAGACAATACAGTAGGAAACAGAGCGTACAAGATGGAGTCAAAGACAAAAATCCGATTTTTGGATAAACTTATTTCATTTACAGCTGATCTTGCCTACAGCGGCCTATGGAATGGATTGATATCGTGCTTTCTGAAATGAGCTAGACTGTAAACAATGAAATTTTTGAGAGACGGTCATCACATGAAATCAATATCTCATTGAAAATATCAACATACAACTCAGCGGTCAGTAACAAAGCCGCCTATCCCTTTGTTTTGGGGATTAAATTTCACTGCAGTTTGATGTAGGCAGATAGATCTCTTTCTAGGAAATCGAGTTCGCCGCCCTTCTGGGCCAGCAAAAGAGGCGATTTTCAATCAATTCTTCTTGCACATCCCCCAGTTCAAACCCTTGAAATATTCGTTTCTTTTCTATAAATTAATCCTTGGCTCTCCATCCGAGTTCATTCCTGCACACCTGATGACATATTAGTATCAGTATTTTTACTCTGCTACCATTTTCAGGCACATTGACTTACATAGGTCCCCTTCGGATCCTCCTTGCTATACTTCATATCATGGTCGGTACTCAGATCACACATAAGGGCTATGACGGACTTCCTGAGAGAACATTCATACGCAAGCCAGCGACCAGTCGACAAAGAGTCAGGCTACATTGATAGCAGCAACAACAGATATCAGTACGGTTTTATCTCTTGGTTGGAACAGGGAGAACGATCAAGTTATCAGTGTACTGATACTGAATATCAAAGTATAGGCAGACTTGGTATGGTATTGATGGTATTGATTTGTTTGAATTCGGTATCTCTTCCGACTGTTACCATGACAAGCAGCTACTTGTAGAAATGATTTGTTTTTTTTTACAAAAGTCCAGGGATTCTCGCTCCACATATACTGGCACACACAGAGACATAGACAGCAATAGCGACAACACACAAAGTGAAGGGTAGTTAGCCGCAGCCAGATCTGAGACTCAAAACTGACTGAAGAAGTCAGGAAAAGAAGCGACAATAAAGAACACACCAGATGCCATATTTGCAACTGAAAATATTTCGCGGGAAATCATTTCTCGCCTATCTCGCTGCGCTCGGCCGGCAAGAAATACAACGACTTCTGGCTGTTACCATGCCATGCAACTAGAATTTCTTTTTACAACAGTCCAGGGAAACATCAGACTGTCACCATACCAAGCAGGTAGAATTTTTTTACGAAAGTCCAGGGAACCGTGCGGCTGTTACCATGCCGAGCAGCTAGAAAATATGTTTTTGGACAAAAGGGAATTTTCCAACTGTTTACATGCCAAGCAGCTAGAAAACATACATTTTTACAACCCCCCCCCCCCCCCCCCCCCCCAGAAAACAAACTAGTACTTGCTATTATAGTACTCACCTAGGGCCGAACGAGGAGAACACATCTCCACCCGTGTATGTTATTGTGGGAGGGTTCACGGTCGTGTCGATCTTGGCATCGGGCTGACGACCGCAGGAAGCACCCTGGTTTTGACATACCTGCGCCACAAATAATGATAATTTGCACCCGTGTTGGTCAAAAAGCCATGCACGAAGAAGCAAAGGCGCTACAAAGCTTATACTGCAATTTACACCCGTGTTATTGTTAAACAGAGGCAGGAGGAAAGAGAGTCAGGTTTTTTGTTCATGGAAGAAGATGATTGGCTTCTGTACTCATTGGAAATCAGGGGTTGTAGCACCTATGAAAAACACATGAGATCAAACTACCAGGTGCGCTTGGCCCACGGATTATGAAGTTCCTTATGGACGATGGTCTATTCATGTAACGATAGCTATCGTGACCTTGACCTGCTACCCCCAAAACAACCGAGATCCTGCTCAACCATGCAATACATCGCTGGGCTCAACCCGACCCTGCCCTGAGGGCTACTGAAACAGGCAGCCTGAGATCAGTACACGCTAACACTAACACACACACACGCACGCACACACATGGTCTTATACATTCCACTATGGCTGCCAGCATAACTATGGAAAGACAGCACGTAATCATCCTGAAAGGAAAAGGACATTATGGATAGAAGTTAAGAGTAACTCTCCCCACTGTGACTGGATACTATTATACGGTCAGAAAGTGCAACCACTAAGCATAACACTGATTATGCCCTTTTACTTTTACTTTCTACATTTACTATTGGCTCAACATCCATGTTTCGTAATTATGCTCACCGCGTTATTTTTGACGCAATGGCCATCCTCGAAGCCTTTGCAAGGATTGTATGAGTACACCCACTGGGTCGAGGGCTGCTTTATTCCTGTGAAACTGTGGGGGGAACAATAGCAGAAATGGCAATACATTGCGTAAGAGGTAGTGGTGAGCCGGGCAGCATGATCTTCGGGTATCGGGTTCGGGTAGTTTTCCACCCGTAGCACACGGGTACCTGATCGAGTAATGTTTCCATGGTAACACCACAATGCACCCCTTCCCTTACACACTGCGTAGACATGCAGAGTATTCCATAAATTTGTACACGTGCACTGTACATGATGTCATCTGCGACTTCGGGTTTTCGGGTACTATTCTGTACCCGCCTACCCAAGGTCCTCACGGGTAGCCCAGGGTACCCGACTACCCGTGTACACCCCTAGTAAGAGACACATGCAAAAGAAATCTGATCCACTCGGCGGGCGAGTGCTCATTGTGATTGGTGACGCTATGAAGCATGTGTAGCTCTTCATTGCATTACCACCCACAGTGAGAGTGACTATAACATATCATAATCAGCGTCATCGGAAGGTAGTGTGGTACGGTCAGCCATCTGACATTTAATTAAAACTCTTGGCGCAGGCCTGGCTGAGCTTTAACACATTTTTGGGAATTTAGAGTAGAGATCAGTGCCCGGGTACCCAGGGCAAAGAGTGGTACGTTCAATACCGTGGTGATGGTATCGTACCCCACACCCCTGATAATATAGTTATATCCATGTTCAGGTACTGCACTGACATGAGAATAACCAAACTGTTGTGGTTCATAAGGAAATCACAATTCAAGTATTCCCTTTTGAAGTGCCGCTGGTCCGATTTCGATCTATACATTTGGCGGTGTGACTCTCCTCTGGCTAAGGCATCCTTGATCAAACCTACACTATTTCCCACAAAAACGGAGACTGCAGTTCAACTTTACTTCACACTCTTTTGCTGCTGTACCCACACTTGCCATACATGAAAGGAACTTCTTTGCATGCCTTTCCACAACCTCCAACGTGACCAATTGACAGCCAGAACTACATTATGCAGAATATTGCGTGAAACAAACTGCTATATCTGACGTGTGTTTTACATAGACCGTGGTGCTACTTCCTTGCTTCAACCAATGGTGTTTTTTTAATGATTCTTTGCTTCGAAAAAAAACACGTGGAGTGCGATACAAAATTAATCATGTGCTGAGCCTGCTGAGTGCTGGCGTGACAATGCACAACGACAGGTACAAAGCGGGGTTGCCCTATACTAGAAGTTTCATCGCAAAATGGTCAATCATGAGACAAAATATTCAACTGCACGTGGATTGTTTTCAGGTGCATTGTACTGGCAGGTCGGAACCAGGGAGTAGTACCTACTACTCCTGGTCTGAACAGGGATGGCTACAGTGTGCGATGTGATCAGCGGTCCGCGTATACTGTGGTCTCTTTCTCTCGAACCAGCTCTGAACCAATATCGACATCTTTTTAGGGGGGTCCTTTGTAGGCCCCCGTGTAATATACCGGCATTTTTTTGAGCATTTTCGGTACAATCCGCGATCCCAGCACTTTGGGCTCGCCAGTCGTCATGCAGCATTTTGGGGGAAACGGAGCACAATTGGCCGTTGTGTATCAAAATTGAGAGAAGAAAACTTCCCAAACAAGAACGTCACTTCCGCATTCCGTGGGTTAGCTTCTTGTTGAGTAGTTTATGAATTGTTTACCATGGCAGCCTCGAGCAAGTCTCTTACTGAGTATTTTCTGACTCCCTGGTTTTGACGACGTGTGCTGAGGATGACAAAAAAGTGAGCATTTTCCGAGCATTTTCGGCACGGTTTGGGAGCATTTTCGGCAAGGTTTACGAGAATTTCCCAAAAGCATTTTCGGCAAAGTTTCGGGCATATTACACCGGGGCCTAGTCCTTTGGCCCCCAAGCACCCCCCCCCCCCCTCGCCTACGTCCCTGTATTTATTGCTCTCCCACAACGAGCAAGGCCAAATCGCCCCCTCATTGGCACCGTGCCCATTCACACAAGGATGTACAGGAGATAGTGCGATACCTGACGACATTGTTCACCACAAGAGTAGGTATCATCCCATGCTACACATTCTGACTGAATGAACGCCATGATGACAAAACGAGCACACATTGACTACTCACAAAGGCTTGGGGTTGTCTCCATTGTTACTGATCAAAGAGAGGTCAATGAAGCCACTGCCGTCCGCCATTTCACAAGCGCACGTCGAACCAGATCTCATATTGCACTGCGCAGCGGCCCAAGCGTTCTCCACCGCACCGCTAAGAAATAAAACAACTATCAGCATGATTGACAGGGCGCTCCTGCATAAACTACGGAATCCTCCTACGGTCGATTTCAGCTGACGGCATGGTGGAGTCGCCATTCTATCAGCTGGGCCCACAATTCACCGCCAGGCGAGATGAAGGAAAAAGGAACCACTAGCTAATGTCTTGATCTTCGCGAGAAGCTCTTGTACTTGTTTGGAATGAAAGCGACAAGAAGAAGGCGTTCAGAATCTCCCTGTAGACCTGGTAGACCTACCATGTGTAGTCTCGCTTCAATAACTAGGTTTACATGTGCATGGTTGAAGTCACGCGGATGCTGCATGCATGCACCCCGGCCCTCGGCCTAGCCGCGCGACCCGGGCCCGGGCTCGCCTTCCCCACTTTTCGGATGATCTATCGAGTCTGTAAAAGCAGGAATTTTCAGTGGTGTAATAATGTTTTCGGTGTTATCCAAAATTGGCGGTTCCGTGGCGGGAAATTTTCCGTAAACCCATTTTCCAGGTAAATGTACTAGTACTAAAAACTTTTCGGTGAGTTATATTTTAGGTACCAAAGTTAAAACAATAATAATAATTCACGGGATTCGCGTTGGCGTCGCGTTGGCATCGCTTGAATGTTTAGAAACACACAGACTAGCCTACCGAAGTTGCAGAAAATAAAACACCACCAAAATTTCTGCTTTTACAGTCCATGACATGCCAGATCATGCCGATCGTCGAGTCTGCATAGATTTCACGCGGATGAAACCGCTGAGTTTACTCATCCACTACAGCAATTACTTACAGCGTCAGCTCAAATACGAGTCGTTTCAGTGTTGCCAGGTTACTGTTAGCATGGTTAGGGAGGAGCGTGGCCGGCCACGAGTGGGCATGTCAAAGACATTTCAAACAGAACGCCAGATGCTACACCACTGCACAACTCCACACGGCACAAGTCCGTCTCTCGACTCAAGTCTCATGTCTCGAGTCATGATTCATGGCATGGCAGTGCTAGCTATCAATAATAGTATCATGCCAGGATCTAGGACGCAGACAGAGCACGGAGCACACGCGTGAGAACGGTCTTTCCGGCGCCAAGGAGTTGACAAGTCATAATTTCATCGCGTTGCATGGCAAAGCGCTGTCTATGCGTACACACTACACAGTTTACAGACTTACAGTGCTAGCAACTGAAATCCGACCCCCTGAGCGGTGCGCTCACATCGCAAAGAATGTGAACCCATCGCTCAGGGGGTCGGATTTCAGTTGCTAGCACTGTAGTACTGGTAGTAGATCTACCATCAGACTCTGGCAGTCCGAGACCAGAACCTGAGAACTGGCAGAAGATGCGTGATCGATCTGCAGGAGACTGCAGACAGTGCAAGAGAAAAAACAGTTTAGACTTAGAGGTTTGGGCCCAGTACTACCAGTACTAGCAGTAGTGCAGTACTAGTAGATCTCCCCATGTGACTTGACACCAGTTTGAATGGAAATTGTTCGTTCTCGTCATTGTCGAGTTTGTTTTGTGGAACGATCAGAAGTCACCAGCCTTCCACACCAGTATTGAGCGGTTACTTAGGTATCCAATTTCTTTCTCCAAGTGCTGACTGTAGACAGCGCCTGCTATTCGCGCTGGATAGTATCATTTCAAACCGGTCGAAGAAGCAATGTTCCGCAAAACAGGTCGCAGGTGCCAAGTCTGAAATATTTGAGATTCTGCTGAAGAAGATCGGGAGTTGATTTTTGGTATGGCGCACTCAGGGACTATGTCCGCATTAGGTCCCCTCTACCTTGTATGCCTGGTACTGTCGTGCACGCTAGCGCCATGCAGGGCAGGGCGGCGACGTGTGTGCTGAGAGAGGGCTCGTTCTGCACATGTGATATGGACGACAACAGCGGTCACATGGATCTCAGTGCGATCAGCAAGTCGGACGGCACGCCATTGTACGTAGACCCTTGCTGTATAGATTTCAAGGAGATGCAGGGGTGGATCCAGGGGGGGGGGGGGGGGGGGGGGGCGAAAGGTGCTTTCGCACCCCGCAGGTTTTCAACAACAAAAATAAAAAAGGAGAAGAGGAAGAACACTGTGGCGGGGCTATTTCTTCTTCCTTTTTATTGTGGTGGCAGGCCCTCATGGACCAGTCTTCTCATCTTCCTGTAACTAGCTGGGAGTAGACCTTTGCAAACTTACAGTACATACTAGTGATGTACATACTAGTAATGCATTATAATATTATAACTTGTGGTTAGGGGTGTGCGGATAATGCTCGAAAAGGTGGCAGATTCTGCTCGCAAAGCAGTGAAATTGGCAGAACCATACAAACCTTATGGCGGGCAACTCCTCGAATTCTGCTCCATTTCTTTATCCACATACCAAACATGCATGAAAAGTACCGAATTCTGCCAATTTTTCTGCCGGCATTATCCGCATATGCCTATTTGTGGTAGACCCAGTGTTTGTTGGTACAGTTATGCCTCCCCAGTATGTGTCACACCAGATAAACCTTACCATACGCTGTTTCCAGCACAGGCAAAGATGTGGACCTATTCGTCTACTTCAACGCGAAAATGCACGTAATAACAAAAATGGTACACTGTTTTTGTGATCACGATACAAGAGGTACATACCCACAGTCAGATGGAAATTTATGACCAACTTATGGCCAGCTACATGGGTGCGGCTAATGGGGGGGGGGGGGGTTTCGGCACTTGTGCCAGTGGTTGTGAGACTTATCCCCTCAACCCCCACCTTCAGGCAATGCATCTGCTGTTGGATGTTTGGATGTTATCAGCCGTTGTGATTTTCCCTATGGGACGAGCCATAATAATTTACTCTTTTTTTGTGGTTTCTGGTGGGTTATTCATTTCAGCTTCAAGGACATTAAAGGAGCCAGTAATTGGAAGTATAGTTACAATCCATGTTCACCATTTGTGGATAACAAGTGCAAAGCTGATGTGTTGGTGAGTAACCATCTTGTGCATTGTCCTGGCCGAGCTGATATTTAACCTTATTTTTAGAATTATTTTTCCCCAAACATGAACACCGTTCAGTCAAGGTTGCCACCCTACGGGCAACCCGGGATCACCTGCCACACGGAAGGCAAGGTAGCACATGTTGATCGATATTTAGACTGGTAGCAATGGTAGGCGTTCATGCAGATGGGCAGGCTGCCAGGCATGGGACGGGAAGACATGGCAACATTCTCACATGCGCAGCATTCACGCTATCGACTTCCTTGAAAAGGGGTGAATGGTGCTTTCAAATTTTAGATGGATTTCGTAGTCATGAATTTGATGGAGTAATGCAGAAGTCAACTCTGCGGCATTCTCTTACTACAGTGTTCAACAGGAGCTGCAAAACCTGCCAAAATCTACACCGTGACGGGCGCAGGCGGTCTCTTTTTGGCAAATTTGTACGGTCTCACTTTGCAGCAGCCAGGCCACTTGTACTGGCGATGGCGTAGGGGTTTCCATGTCATGAAGTGGCTGGCGTGCTTTGACCCCTTGAGAGGTTATGAAAACAACAGCGCAAAACAGTTCACTGTTTGTTTCCATCTGTAAAGGTTTGCCAAGGAGGTGATTCAGTATGCGGACGCGATACGTCGGTGAACATCGAAGTCACAGATACGGCTCCCGTGGGTGGAACAATCAAATACGGCAACGGAGACGTGCTGAGCAAAGTCCCGAGGTACATATGGCGGGTTCTTTTGTGCTAGGAGTGCTCTGTGTGGTGTGTGGTGTTCATTACCTGGTCAGAAGTGAACGTATTGCGGTGCAGGTCGGGAGACGCACATTTGTGTGAACCTGCGTATGTGTGTGTGTGTGTGTGCGTGCGTGCGTGCGTGCGTGTGTGTGTGTGTTTGCGTGTGTGTGTGTGTGAGAGAGAGAGAGAGAGAGAGAGAGAGAGAGAGAGAGAGAGAGAGAGAGAGAGAGAGAGAGAGAGAGAGAGAGAGAGCAAGAACAAGAGAGAGAGAGAGAGAGAGAGAGAGAGAGAGAGAGAGAGAGAGAGAGAGAGAGAGAGAGCAAGAACAAGAGAGAGAGAGAGAGAGAGAGAGAGAGAGAGAGAGCAAGAACTAGAGAGAGAGAGATACAGAGAGAGACAGAAGGAGAGAGAGAGAGGGAGAGAGAGAGAGAGAGAGAGAGAGATGACAGATCTAGATAGGTCAAACTTGCAGGAGGCGGGCAGGCGAACCAGTTGGCCGGTAACCCATTTTTCCATTTTCCAAAATTATCTTCATATGGAAATTGCAACGTTCCTCGGCGAATGCCAGACATTACCCCAGACAAATGTGCCTTTATGAACCTTCTGTTACTGACTTTCGACTGCATTTTCGTTAAACAGCACGAAACGCAAAATCGACAAATAAGTAGGAGGGCGCCACTTTTTCGCCGTAGGGCACTCGGTCAAAATAATTGTGTGATGTGCCTGCCCCCTCCCATACCCTCATTTTGCTAGAACCTTGGAGAGTGTGTGTGTGCATGTTTGTGTTTGCGTGTGCGAGCGTGCGGGCGCATTATTGTATGTTTACATCCATGTTTGTAAATTGCGCACCCATTTTGCGTCCATTTAACTGAAGATGGTACCAGTAGAAACGACAGCCTGATATTAGTAATAAGGGAATCGGATGGGTACGTTGCTCCATGCCTTCATCACTACCGAAACAGTGTCCATTATACGCAGTAGCAAATCTACAACATCGTTATCAGTTGTTCTGTTCATTATTCCCTCAACTTCGAATCCCTCTGTTTGTGTGTGGCTTGATTCTTGTTCCCAGAACCGCAGTCGTTACATTCACGTGTGATGCGTCGGTGGAAAGTGACATTACGTTTGTGAAGGAGGACCCTGCGGGAAACTATGTGAGTTTGCGTTCATCAGTTGGTATCTGTTTTAGGCGACAATAATACCTATGGTTTATGGTATTTTATCGTTTACTTCACCAAGCGAACAGGCAATGATGCCTTTTTCTCACCTGCCAATGGCTGGGTCTCACAGAATGGTGAAAGTGGGTTTCTGTGGAGACGCAAGTTTGGTCGGGTTCAATGTATTTTGTTCTCGCTCCGCATATACTGGCATACATAGGAAATATTCTCTACCAGAACAGGGCAATCAATGATGCCAGATTGTAGACCAATTAAGGAATCCTAGAATCACCTGAGGTATGTTTTTGCAGACTGATGGTTGCATTGCGATGACTGACCCGCCATTCCACCTGTTTTCATCTCCTTGTCATGCAGCAATTCAAGCTGGTCTCAAAGCATACGTGCGTAATCCCACCGACTACTCAGGCGCCGCCTCCCCCCGGTACCACGGCACCGCAGCCACCTGGTCCCACAGGACCACATCACCGCACCAGTGAGAAAAACTCCATCAGCATGGGCTCCATCTTGAGCATCAGGTGAGATTGTAATTGATTGATAATACTCAATCTGCGGACAGCACTGTTTAGTCCTTTGTGGACTCATCAGTGCAGCACAGAGGAAATGAGGCCGAACCTCATAGCGATGAAAAATATATTTTCCAAAGCCCCATTTAAAGCAAGCCCGAACATACCTGGATTGATTGATGTTATATTTACAAAATCCACATACCTCCAGACACTGGGGTGAATAATGTAGTGTGGTGGTGGGGCCCATTAAGCTCAGCCCACCAGACGTCTCGGCTTCTTAGCTCAATGTCCGCACCAAAGGGAGATCTGTTAGGGAGAATTTAGTTGAAAAAGAAAACAGAGGGAAGAAAACTTAAAGATCGTATTGCTCAGTGAGCAAATGCCAACGTGCACAATCTCCATGACACATGAGCCATGCACAATCTAGGGGAGAACACGCGCACGGGAAACAATAGGCTGTGAGTCTGTATGTTTTTTTTATTAATTTTTTATTTTTTCACGAGAAACCACAAACCTCGAGAACAGAATACTGCATGATATAAATGTTGTTTCCATGCGTACTGAGGCAGCGAGCTTTTGAACTCTTCAGATCCTTTGCTGTCAAACGTAAGCCTTACATCACCAACGTGTTAAATGGAGTCCAGGACTGTATTGTCAGTTTCGGATTACTGTTGATCGGCTATGTGTATGGAAGATTTAACTTGTACAAACACAATCATCCATCATCCTTTTCCTGTTCTCAGTGTGTCACTGCATGCATGCCCCAAAGAGCTCCTGTAGCTTGTACTGTTTTATTATTCGGCAAACATGGAGTTTGTCCAATGAACTGCGTTGGAAAGTGTTCTCCCTGGAAAGTCTAAAAATTCCATGCCAAAGTACGGATATTAATGGGATGCAGTTTGGCATGGTGTATTCCTCACACATCTTCCTCTCATTCTGTGCCCCTTTGCTCTGCTCAGCTTCTTTACAATTGCTCTGATGTACCTGAGCGGAGGGATAGCGTTTATGATGATCCGCAACGGCGAACGCGGCAGGGAGACGATCCCGAACTACGCATTCTGGGTGGCGTTACCCGGTTTGATCAAAGTAAGTTGATGTGTGCAGTACTCTACCTTATGAGTAATGACGTCGAGTTGTGGTGGTGGTGGTGGGGGGGGGGGGGGGGGAGGACAACAACAGGTACTTAGCAGCACAGTCTTCCGAATGTGACAGGAGGGCCATTTGGGCAAAGGAAAAACTAGTGACGTAACGAGCCATGAATTTTACGAACGAATAATCTAGGGAATGACGCTCGAGCGAACGAAAGATTATTCTGCAATTCGAATGCAAAGTGTACATGTGGCAAAAACACACAACACAGGCCTTCAGACTCGAGTCAGAGTAGAGTATACCACGGTCTACCACGCGTAGTCCACCATGCGTAGTCACTGTCTGCAACACAGTTCAAAGTAAGTTTATGCATTCAAGTCGAGAGATCTAGGGTCGTGACCGCGGTATGCAGACTTCGCCCGCCCGCAGATATTCGGATTATATCCGATCGAATACTTGTTGAGGACCAAGAGATCGACGAAATTTGAATAATCTGTTATTCGTTACATCACTAGGAAAACCCTAGCCCCGACAAACGCATGAATGATGGAAAAAAAACGGGTGCATAACCCCCAGTGGCAACATGCCAGCATGAAAACAGCCGCAACATAGGCCACGTAAATAAAGGAAGGGAAGAAAATGTACAGACCTGAATTGGCACTGGTGAGGCTGAAAAACTGACTGTAGAAGTCAGGCAGAAAGAACAAATCAAGAGAAGAAGAAGAAAACACATCACACCCCATATTTGCAAAGGTAAAAAAATGCTCAACTGCTACAAGAGCAGGAGGGGGTATGAATGTGTGTATATGCGTGTGTGGATGTGTGTATGTATGAATGTATGTGTGTGTATGTGTGTATGTGATGTTTCGTTTGACAATGCTATCACTCTGGTCTATCAGTATCCTGGCTACGCGGCGTTGAAACGGCCAGGGTAACAGAGCATCGTATTCACCTCTCACAAGCAGAAAGAAAACACTGATGTATTCTCCCTTGCCTATGCCATCACCATCCATATAATCCCTGGAACACATCTTGTACCCACATGGAGACGTGTAGAATGGTGCCCTGTACAGACTGGGTGTCTTGCCAAGGTCTTCAAGTGGTACAGCCAATAGGCAGCGTTCAAACGTCCAAAAACCGAAACGAACACAGGGAGCGGTTGTCCGATGTTCGCTTCAGTCAATGTTCTGGGCTCTCCAACCTTGGACATTTCGGTGTGGATATCGCAGGTCTACGGGAGACCCTATGGTTCGGTTGCTCAGTCCAGCGCTGGCGTCTCTCGGGAGCTGTGTTCCAAGTACAGGGAAAGCGCTTTGCGGAGGAACGCATACAGCTGAGAGCTCGCACGCTGATTTGGTGCGTTGTCTTTCAGTTGTGCCCGGCGTTGCAGCTCGCGGAGGAAACAAGGCCCCGGATAGGTTTAGAAGATATCGCGAAAGAAATTTGATTTTTTTACCTGTACAGAGACTAAACGGAGATGGAGACAACCTCCGACGGCATCTGCGTGCTCCATCTTCCTCACTCATGCCACTCCGAAGCCCATGTGCCCCTGTGGCAGTGGATCTACAAGAGAGGACAGGTGTGTTTTTTGTGGGGGGGGGGGGGGAGGTGAACGTGTGTGTGTGTCATTTTGTGGTCATGATGTTGAATCTGTTCTTTGCTCCTGTTGTGTTTTAGGAGGGCTTCCTCTTCATCGTTCACGGATTCAAATCTAGCGGCTATCGGTCCGGATATGACCAGATTTGAGAATGGAATTAACTTCAAAGCAGCCTCACGCGATGAAGGACAAGCACCGGCATGTGCCCACAAGCCAATAGGAAACATGCACAGCGGGTTCTCAGTTCTCCCAAGCTAGGCAAGCCACGTGGCGATATTCGCCACAGAGACTTAATATTGTCTCCTGGGAATATCATAGAATGCTACCATTTACTTCAGTACATAACTTTTATCCGAGCTACGTTCTCTGGTTTACTGCTTGACTAGTCAAGAGATCTTATGGCGTACTGGACATGATTATGTCAGCTGTGAACGGCCTGCTACGACTAATACATGTACTTCTGATTTATTTTCTCTGCTTTACTCATGGTTGGCTTAAAGAGACTAGTTACCATCTGTATAATTATACCTGGTCAATTCCTCGATGTCACAATTTCATTTCTGGCATCTTTCTAGAAATAATATGTGAAACTATAATTCTAAAGGGGAATAGGACATCGAATTTCATACTTATAATTTCATGGTAGTGGTTTTGACGATCTCGTGATTATTAGATTAAATACTTCCAAGTAGAATTCTGTCTTCTCCTCTACCACTTCTCCACGATCTAGCTCCAGTTGATAGTGCTGAACACCGATATAGTTTGGCTGTGGGTACTACACTGTACCCAATTGCATTTGTGTGCGCATGCACACACGTGCGCGCGCGCGCACACACACACACACACACACACACACACACTGACACACACACACACACTTACGCGCGCGCGCGCACGTGCACACACACACACACACACACACACACACTTACGCGCAGCGCACCAGGACTGCCGGGAACATTTCAGGTTTTTGATTGATCTGTCCATCATAGCCCTTCAAACTTTGTGTGTATGACGTAATCAAGTAGCGTACTCCACTGTCCGAAGAGTGCCCAACACTCGTACAGGTAGAGCCTTGTACACAAGACAGATATTGGAAGCTGTGTCGCAACTCTGATCTTCACGTATTACTGCGATCATCAAGCAACTAATGGCTCCAAAACGGGCAGGCTGAACATAATACTTTGTATAAGATTTTAGCGGTTACACATACCTTCTGAAAACCAATATACTGTACTTGCACTACTAGTGGTTGTCAACAGGTGGGACTGGTGATGGGCTGACCAACCGGACCGATTAAATCTGGCCTGCATATTTAGATACACACTTACACACACACACACACACACACACACACACACACACACACACACACACACACACACACACACACACACACACACACACACGTTTACTCGGAGGGAGTTGTGGTCGCTTGTGACAGTGCTCAATGCACCAAGGTGCAGAGCCTAGTACACCTACTTGAGAGGAATCGAAAGCGTTTCTGCTGTGAAGCTTTTGATTCCTCTCAAGTGTGTGTACACACAGTCATGTTGATATGTTTGTGTGTATGGGTGTCTGTGTTTGAGTGTGTGTGTGTGTGTGTGTGTGTGTGTGTGTGTGTGTGTGTGTGTGTGTGTGTGTGTGTGTGTGTGTGTGTGTGTGTGCATGTTTGAGCGTGTGCACTGTATACTGATATCGCCACAAACGTAAGGCATGCATCGGTAGCCAACTCCCTTGCCTGCTTGCTGGCTCCACGTGATGTAGTTGTGACACCCACAGCAAAGGATGAGCAGTCCGCGTCATCAACCTCAACCTCATCCCGCACGGATAGAGAAAAATACGTATAATTCATTTCGGATAAATAGAAATGACAAAATATTACCAAATATAACCAGTTATGACTAACTGTCCACCAGTGTAACCAGATCATAATGTACATCCAAGGTTGAATAATTCATTTTTTATCACATTGGACATCCGGTAATCAAACGCATTAAATTCAAGACCAGACACCACAGTGTTCTTGTTCCACTATAGTATTCCTCAATTGACAGTTCTACATACACGCTATCCTTTCTACTTCTAGTTAGCTTACAGAGTTGCACTTATCACATCAAGCAATTCGGCTTACATAATAATTATTATATACAATTACAAATAATCTTCCAGGAGATACTAATTTTGATATAGTTATGAATAGGCTGAAGCCCGCAGACATCACACAACTACGTTACTTGTTCGACATGCATGTGTATTTTATAACGATAATGTTGAAACCCAGAATCGATGTTCGCCCTCCAATCATCAGTGGGGAAAAAACACTTAAAGCTAAATACACAATTACGCGTAGGGAATCAAGTCAAGTACACTAAATTATAGATGTGAAGAGAATTCAACCAGCAGGCCAAAATTAATAATCAGGCTCGCTGAATTGTCCCGTAAATCACGTCCAAAATAGAATCAGGTGGACCCGAATTGTTGTTGCTGTGAAAAATCGCCACAAAGCGTGCCTGTTAAGCAAAAACCTTGAGAGAACAGTGAAATGACGGTCCGTGTTTCCTTCCGACTTGTGGTACGGTGTGCATTCTTCAGGAAGGCAGGTTGACGCATTCCGGGTAAATTCACTTCTCATATCTTCTCATATGAAGAGCCGCGAGATTTGAATCCGTGCAGGATGAAAAGGCAGCCCTCCTAAAGCACAACAGGAACATAGAACAGATTGAACCCTGACTGAACTGTTGTGTTCTGGAATGATTATAAAAATGCGGCCGCATACCAGACAGACACACAATCACACAGGCACCCACAAATGCATCCACAGCACACATGTACACCTCCATCCACTCACAGCTACGTGGGCGCATACACGCATGTGCGCGCGCACACACACACACGCACACATAACACGCACACACACATAACACACACACACACACACACACACACACACATAACACACACACACATGCACACATAACACACACACATAACACACACACATACATACACATACGATATCCCGACTTCCCACCCGCTCACGCTCATACCTACATATCCAGAGGCAGTTGCAGAATCTAGGCATGCGACACGATACCTAAGTACGGTTATCGATACGTATTTCGACACGGGACTTCGAACGTTCTAGGCGATCTCGCATGCCACATGCCAACATGCTAGCCATGATCATCCCTGATGTCGGAGAGGCCGGGAATTGGGTACCCTTGCTGCGAAACCCACATTATTTCACGTTCCAGTAGCCCGTGTTGGCTCCCTAGATGCTACGAATCCCAGAAATCAAAATTTTAATGTTTGGATGAGAACATGAGATCTAGGTACAATATTCACACAATCCCAGCGAGAACACACGGTTGTACTATGGTGACATGCTGAACCCCAGGGGAAAGAGTACATAACCAAGCTGTGATGGGTTCACCCACGGCGCAATTTTTTTATTGCGTCATTCTTGGGCAGAGCTATGATCAATTGCGTATACTTTCCGCGCTTGTTTTGTATCTGCCCAGGTGTTAGCGGCCGTCGTGGGGTCCCTTCGGGAACGGACACGATAATTTTTTAATTTTTTTTGTAGATACGGTGAGAGTTCATCAGGTTCAGGACATATCGTTATTCTGCTTCGAATACCGTAGCAGTGATGTACAGGTTATTTCTACTTTGATCTCTGGCTACGCATCGGTGAGCCAACTACAGTCCATTCAGAAAAAGATGAGCACTGGCTCTGGAGAGCTACCGTGTTTGGCGATTTTGTGGTACAGCGTGCAGTGCCGCGCGATTTGAAACTTGAAAAAGGGTCCAAAAAAGGCACCTCAACTGGGGTTCGAACCGCAAATGTACTGTTATGTAAGTGGAGTAAACGGCCTGGATTTTCATGGATTTTACCGAATTCAGTGCTTTGGGGGCAAAACCTGGCTGAAATCCTATTCTTGGCATGGCTTGCTTTTTGGAGAAATAGACTTCAAAAACACAATTGAAGAGCATTCCACGGGGCATTGCCAAAAAATTCGAAAACTCAAAATTTGACCCGTTTATGGCCTAAAGCTAGAATATCATCTTTTTCTGAATGGACTGTAGCCGCCAAAGACTGATATCATTAAAAAAATTCCTCCGTGGGCTGGGGGATCCGCGATTTGCACACGCTTGGTTATGTACTCTTCTTGCCAGGGGTTGTAGCCGTGTGTGTGTTTGTGTCTGGGTAAGAGGGGGGGGGGGGGACAGTTACCCCTTAAAGGGGAAGTATACCCTAAAATCAAATTTTCACCAGTTGTAGTCTTCGGGGTGCTGAGTCGAATGGTCTTGGTCCGAGGAAGCTGAGACGCTCCCTTCCTACTTGAATCCCAATCGAACTCGCGCACTTCCACCGAAACTGGGTGACTGCGCCCTACTAGATGGGGATTTGTATGCAAAATGTCACTAAAAGCGCCATTTCGTTCTTATAAAAGCACGGATGACCGCGATTGGCCCATATGTTGTAGTCTTTTGGACGCTGAGTCGACTGGTTTTGGTCCGAAAAGGCTGCAATGCAGCGTTCCTCCTTTATTCCCAATCGAACATGGTTGAACAAGCGGTCACGTGCTCCTGCGTACACCAGTCACCTGGTCACCGTGCCTGCAGGGTACAACTTACTAGCCTGTTTGACCTTTTTTGGGTGCAGTCCTGTCACTCGAGTTGAACTCGAGTTGAACCTTGGTGTGAAAGTTGTCGCCTGCTGGCGCGGTGACCAGGTGATTTGGGCACCCAGGAGCACGTGACCACTTGTTCAACCACGTTCGATTGGGAATAAAGGAGGAACGCTGCATCGCAGCCTTTTCGGACCAAAACCAGTCGACTCAGCGTCCAAAAGACTACAACATATGGGCCAATCGCGGTCATCCGTGCTTTTATAAGAACGAAATGGCGCTTTTAGTGACATTTTGCATACAAATCCCCATCTAGTAGGGCGCAGTCACCCAGTTTCGGTGGAAGTGCGCGAGTTCGATTGGGATTCAAGTAGGAAGGGAGCGTCGCAGCTTCCTCGGACCAAGACCATTCGACTCAGCACCCAGAAGACTACAACTGGTGAAAATTTGATTTTAGGGTATACTTCCCCTTTAACCCATTTTCCATTTTCTAAATTTGTCTTGCCATGCAAAATATAAGGCACAAGGGGGGGGGGGGGGAGAGACGCCTGATTTCAATGAACAGACAAATGTGCCTTGATGAACCCTCTAGTAGTGACTATCGACTTCATTTCCTTTGAATGGAATGAGAAAAACACGACCATGGAAAGATGAGTGGCCACCTTTTTTCACAGGGGGCGCTCAAATCAGAATAGGAGAGCGGCGTGCCGCCTCCCCCCCCCCCCCTTACCCCCACTTAGTTAGAACACTGTTGAAACCTTATGCATACCTTGACAAGGCCGGGAATGGCAACCCAGAACGTGTAGTTTGGCAAGACTTCGCGTCCCCTCGCTTCACGCCGTACAAACATGAACGCCGAGCCCATGCTGAGGTACAGGAGAAGTGCAGCAACAGCACTGTGGGAGATTGAGGGAAACAGAAACGATGCACAATGCACACCATCAGGCAGCAATACAAGAAGATATCACACTGGCAGATATGCTTGTTGAAGATCATTAATGTTGTCAGAGCGTATGCGCAGTGTGGTGTGGGTGAGAACAAGGTGCAGAAAAGAGATTAGCGAAATCAAGGTATCCGTCCGCAGCAAAGGGTTAAAGGGCGCATCTAGTCAGAAGTTGGGGATCAGTCAAAATCACATACTCGAAGCATACACAAATACATGTACACATCCACACAAGTACCATACGTGCGCACGTGCGCGCACACACACACACATACACACATATGTACACACACACACACACACACACACACACACACACACACACACACACACACACACAGGTATTATTTACCAGATATCCAATATGGTCCCAAGACTGAGCACATTTCCCTCTGGTTTTCTTGGTCTCTGCGACGTAGGTGCTGGAGCAAGGCAGGCATACTTTGACGTCAAAGCCAGGTTCTGTATGGATGCAAGCAGAAACCAGACAATAAGAACTTAGTTTTCCCCTGAGGGAGAGTTATTTAAAACGGGTACTCCATCTGCGGACAGAACTGTTTCGTCCTTTGTGGACTCGTCAGCGCAGCACAGAGGAAATGAGGCCGAACCTGATAGCAATGGAAATACAAATTTCCAATCAGGCCCGAACGTACCTTGCCAGAGTGCTCAAACTGACAAGTCGGTGAGCTTTAAAACGGATATTATGCTGATAACACAATCTACTGAATTTCTTGATATACCCAGACTCCATAGTAGTCATCTGTTACATGTACCGTACGTCAACAAAATTTAATATTCGGTGCATGAATTTTATTTTCGCCTACTTTCGACCTGGTCATGTTTGGCCGAAATATTGTTGCGGCGGAAATTTCGTTTTGCAAGGTTCAGTGCGTCAGTGTATACCGGCGGCAAGAGTACAGCCCGAAGATTTGATGTGGCTGAAATGGGTTTTAGCCCAGGGAGGCGGACATCTGAATGGGCCTAATATCTGTACACTGACAGTCTATCTATTCATCCTTGCTTGGAGCTTCCTCTTCGATCTACATATTTCGATATTTGCAACAGGACTAAAAACAATGAAGTTACGACAGTTTTACGGTACGCACTACATATCGTTCGGATTCGAACGATGGACCCTCAAAGGGTTTAAACACTCTTCAAGCGGTCTCTGTGCTACCCAGAGACCCGGAGACCGCTTGGGGACTGAGGGAATATGGATACAATCCACTCAAGAGAGTACCATCAAGGGATATAAGCACACACACAACAGTGCGAGAGCGAGAGCTCCATGGTGGAGCGACTGAGCAGCACGCGCACCAAAAAGGCCGATCTCTGGTCTTGGCATTAGCGCTTTTATGTACCATGGAGCTATGACTCTCGCACCGTTGTGTCATCATAGGTTCTCGATTATGCATGGGCATGTGGTGGAGAGGGGGGGGGGGGAGGAGGAGGGGGAGGTATGCTGCTCAGGTATTCCAAGTACGAATGTGTCATGCTGCTAGAAGGATCAAGAGCTTCAGCACTAAGCCTTACAACATACCGAACATTGCTTAGTCACAGGGGGGCATTTTGCGGGACGAAGTTAACATCATTCCAATTCAAGCCCCACAACACTTTGGGTAAACATGCCAAAGGCAGTTCACTTGCAAACCATAGCCATACGTCAAAATAGCAACTTGTCCACTCACGTATGTTAATCCTGGCGCCTCGGATGTGAACGTGATATCATGGTCCTTTGTTGGGTCGCAGCTGATTGCTACATTTGCCACCCTGAAGAATGGACAAGGCAAGATGGTAGAAATTATGTAAAACAAAAAGGAAAGTGCTGTCTCTGTTCCCAAGGGAACACATGGCGGCTGTTAACGCCCTGAGAATACAGTGGCAGACGCAGTGCCTAACGGTAGGGGTGAGTCGATAGGCCTCACACCATTGGGACAAGTGCCGAAAAGCCCATCAGGCGAATCCACCTACCCCTTGTGCCTGGCCACAAGTTCCCAGTTGGCTGTGGGTAGCAGCACGGCTGGAAAAACACCCCCAACGGAGAATACTCTTGAACTATTAAATTTACTATAAAGCTTAAATGTCTTATTACATGTATATTCCTTTTGCCTATACTGCAGTTGTAAGCGTGTGTTCACTTCATCGGCCTGGCTCGTTCCTCATTCTTTTGTTCATTTGGCTTATGCGAAGACTAGCCAAGCTTGCTTGGTGATGTCAATGCGGACAAGCATATAATAATACAGCTTAAACCCCTTCTCTTCCTCTTTTCGAATAATATTAGCAACTTCCCTCGCACTGGCTGCCTCCTTAAATCACACCACCACTTCCCCTGTTGCGACCACCATCATCAGCAGGGCGACAAACACCGTCACCACCGCCACCACCAACGTATGAGACACTGAACCATAAATTCAGAATTCACCTTGGTTGGCCTTTTTGCTCATCACCATTGCCATAGGCTATAGTTGCTTGTAGTGGGGATGTACTCGTGATGGTGAACTTAGCTGTGGATTGCTGGCCACAGACAACCTCGCCATGCTGGCAAACCTAAGGAGATTCAGAAACAAGCAGACAGAGGGGGAAGGAGAGAAGGTGGGGAAAGTGAGACAGACACAGATAACATGTAACAGGGAGAGAAAGAGACATTGAAAGAGGCAAATCGACACACAGAGGTAGAGAAAGTGAGATAGAAGATAGAGATAGCGAGAGATAGAGCGGCAGAGAGATGGAGAGATAAAGAGACAGAGAGGGAGACAGAGAAAGAGAGGTGAATAGAGACAGAAAGAAAGGAAGAGAGGGAGAGAGAGAGAGACAACGAGAGGGAAAGACAACAGGCAGTAGTAGAAAATGAGACACAGCTTGAGAGACAGAAAAAGAAAGAGAACAAACAAAAAACTGGTTATCCACAAAAATATGCACCAGAAAAGTCCCAGCTTTGTCATCGATAAACAATTGGAGTACAACACAACATATCTCAGACCAGTCGTTGAAGATTGAACATTGCGCTGTAGGGAGTTCCAGCGCTGGCTTGTGGTCTGGATATCTGATTACGTATGAGGTAGCCAGCCAAACAGCCAGATAGATTAAGCCTGACTGACTTAATTTGTTGGATCTCTATAGAATTGCCTAAAACGCTAAGTTCTATTTCAACACAGTTGCCTCTCTGCCATGGAGATACACAGAAGGATAGACCAGAGAATTTCTGCAGAAAGAATACAGACAGACACATGGAACGTGGTCTGTCTTTTAGCTTGGTGGTGATAGGCCCGTATCCCTATACCGACCCCAGAATCACCGCCACCTCATCGCACAAGGGACTTGTAAAATCACAGCTGATTGGGTCTGCAAAACTCCCTGAAACTTCCTTTTTTGAATAGTTGAATTCCGGGTGCAGCATAGAACAAAGGGTGTCCTGCTCCAGCCGAAACTAAACTCTCATTCTCATATCCACGATGTTGTGCACGCTTGCAATTCCTGACTGGCTATGAGCCACTTCAGTTCACTAGGGGAGAGATACGTATGCACACAGACCTGCAGGTGACTTACGGCAACATTATTCTGGCACTTGTTGTCCTGAAACGAATAGCACGGATTGTAGCTAAATCCGCCATCGCCGGCAATGTTCGTAAAGCTGCACAGAAGAAAAATGATCAAGAGAGAGAGAGAGCAAGCTTACAACGTTTAGCGATGCTTGTTTTGCATGGTTATTTTCCTGAGCTAGGCGAGCTTGTGCTTAGTTGAACAACTGGCTCCTGGCGCACCCTGGCCTTACGTAAGGTATGGGCTATGTATGAATAGTACGCCAGGCCGGGAGAAACTACAGCAAAACCTGTCAAGGCGACTCCTCATAATTATAAGGCGACCACCTATCCCAGAAGGCCACTGCAGCCAGGACCACGGGATGTTATTTCGTCTTAAACAGGGTTCACTGTTGCCGTATGACATGGTTCGTGACCACCCACCTGTGTACGTACACACACACACTCACACGTACACACACACACACACAAACACACACACACACTTGTACTTGAGCTTGCTCACTGCCGAAATTGGTCATGCGAGTCTCCTCGGGACAGGGGAGACAGACTCAAACAGATTCTTAGAAAGAGGACTGAATTGGCGGTTAAAGAGTCCAAAGGGTGACACACACACACACACACACACACACACACACACACACACACACACACACACACACACACTCACACACACACACACACAGAAATATAGCGCAGTGGACCCTGGGTAGCGCCAAACATCACTAGATCGACGCTTTTTGGCATGTCTATGGGATAAGCTGTGGAATTGACGCGCAATATGTTTGTGTTCCCCTGAGAGCTGCACTCCAACTAGAATGGGTAACATTAGATTCTGTATCATTGATCGAAGTCTACACCAAGTCTTGCCATGGATGAAGAAAGGGAAGAACAAAATGTTTCGAGCCATGACTAACTGTCCGCCAAAGTAACAAGATGATATTTAGTCAGCGCGTACGACACGGCACAAAACAGATAGGGAGTGTTGAGACATTCAACGAACTCACACCTAGCTATAGTACGTCTAAGAAGTGCAAGCGAACAACCTTCCAACTTGGAAGGCTCTTGTTCAGATAGGTCCAATGAGGGGAGGCAATTTATTCCAGTTACAAGTGACAACAGAAATAATGGATGCTTGTATAGAATGGTGGTTGGCGTCATTGTCGGAAAGGTATGATGACTCAAAAAGCTGGAGACCAAGTAGTATTGTGTGCTGTCGGATATGCAGGCGAACCTACCCAGAACCCTGGCTGATATTGTGTTTCCCAGACATTCAAATAGTCACGGTTGGATGGTGGCTGGTGGTTGCGCCTATCAATTTCGCACTGGGCTCACCCTGCATGCATCCACTAGTACACTGCTGCTCAATGAAATCCAATCGCTGAGTCAAATTTTTGCGGTGCGCCATTTGGCAACCTAGTATTCGTGGGTCTAGGCTAGGTTTCGCAACGCGGGGCGCTTATGTGAGTGACTCGATCGAATTTCATCGAGCAGTGCCGTACAAAGTTAATAAAAAAATACTTCAGTAATAAATGTGCGTGTGAATGGATGGGAGTCGAAGATGCGGACTGCAGTTTGCAACACTCACAATGCTGTGCCGTCGTTATTGCTGATTGGCGTCAGGTCCAAATACCCTAACCCGTCGTCCATATCGCAAATACACGTAGATCCATCACGGGGGTTACAATTTACCGCCCGCACCACTGAGCCGTACTGCAATCCACCGACTAACGCTATCGTTGACAGCACCAAACGACTACAAAAGGTGATAATGTCCATCACCCTTGGCCAAGTGACGGTGGCCGCGGTGCTATCTTTCTCCTCCCTCACTGGTTTCAGCACCCAGCCCCACGCTGCTTTGCAGACGAAGAAATTATCGGATTGTGACTTCAGTCCGATTTCTATCCAAGCTACATTGGAACATCACACCCACAATAATTTGGAGTTCAATGAAAACAATTATGTGGATGGTGACAGAGCACGTATCGTTGACTGGTTTTTTCCAGTCAAATCAATCTTTGGCTCTGCGGCGCTAGCTCGTGCACAGCCGGATAAGAATCTGTAGTCTACAGACAGTGCAGATCTACAACTTACTTACAGTACAAGTACAGTAGATCTACTGGTTGACGGTCTAGAATCTACACACGCAGCAGAGGCGGTGCTGAGAATAATCACGTGACTTCTATTCATTGCTGGTTCGTGTCTGTTCTTCAGGATTTTGCTGTCTAAATAACAAACAAACAATAAGTGGCCGGAAAAGGTGTTTTTAACTCTGAGTTTCACATACTAAGCGATCATCAGCAAACAATAATGAGTACTTGACCAGTACCGGACCGGGTCCGGCTTGTATACCCACAAAGCAAAGTGTAAATGTTGCTGTCTATGTTATCATGCTCCTGAAAAGCAACCAGAACAGAACTGTACATGTACTTGTAGATGTATCAGCTTCACTATCAGTGTACGCAAACAATGGACAGGTCTGCAGTGAGAAAATGTGCTGCTGGACTTTGTTGGTTGAAGATTTAAAAAAATATTGTTGAGGTCGCAGTGACGTACCGATATGGGACAAAATTACCTGGCTGTGTATACATGTACATGACCTCCGACTCGTCCGAGGTTGGCGAAGCAAAACACTTCTACTACATATTGGCTCTGATTGAAACAAAAAAATAAAACTCCAGCAGGGGAAGTAACAGTTCCTAGGGCTCAACGTTCTTACGGTGTGAAAAATCTTTTGTTTGAAAATACACGTACATGTATCTACTAACGACAGCGCAAATAGACAGAAACAAACAGCCACGAAAATGAAAAAGAAGGCATATATGAGTTGGGTGAGGTTCCGGAGGTGTGTTCAGCTATGTTGGACACTGAAAAAGGGCACCTTCAAGATCTATACATGTACCGTACTGTATGCTACTGGGCATGTTTTGAATGGAATGGTGCAGAAAACATCTTGAAAATCACGGTTATAAATCACGGTTGTAATTTAAGACTGGTAAGAAAAGATTAGTAAAAATCTTCAAACACAACACCTCTTTGTTCCTATTCTTCTATAGAATTCCACCATTTTTAGTTCTACGTACAACCTATCTTTTCTAGCTAACAAAACCTATCACGTCAAGGAATTATGCCTATCTAATAATACTCATCGGTTGAGGGAATGGAAAAATGGAAATACTTTATTTGTTGTGCGTAAAGCTACGCAAAGCTGCAAGCACAATCAATAGATCAAACGTACGGGAGGTATCAACCTGTCGGCAAAAGACATAATTTTGTGAACTTGGCGATGAGATGCTTTAACGATTTAACCAGCTAAAATGACAGGCTAATTTGCGCAAACTTCCTGTAAACCACGGCATTCTAAAATGAAATCAGGTAAAGGCGATTGTTCAAAGCAACGGAATTGGCTTTGACGTCTGCCTCAATGTGGAAAGCTTGATAAAAATGAAAAATGGTGATCCATGTATTCTTTTGGCTTACGGAAACGTGCGGTGGCCTGGTCTTCAAGAAGGCATTTTCACGTCTTAGGAGTAAATGCCCTTGTCACATCTCGTCATATCCGGACCGATAGCCGCGAGATTTTACTCCGTGCAGGATGAAGAGGAACCCTTCCTACAACACAAGAGGTGCATAGAAAAGATCGAACCTTGGCAGATTTGCAGAATTCCGGCATGATCAGGCTATTCATTCAGATTGAGTAAAAAAAGAGTGAGGTAAATGGAGAAAATAAACTGCCAGTAAAGCCTGACAGTGGGTATCGGACGGTTCGGACAACTGCAGAAGCAAATTGGAAATACAAATGATTTGCGCCTCAATGCCACTTTCAGAGTAGGCTGCTAGGGTAAGGGTTTACCGGGTGTTAGCGGCCGTCGTTAGTTCCCTTCGGGAACGGACACGATAATTTACTCCTTTTTTTTGCTAGGGTAAGTGCACCGCAATAATTCTTCAGTGATATTCATATTCATGCGTACCCGAAACAGTCGTATCGCTGTCACTGTGTCAGTGAAGCCTGGATACGTACCTTGATAAGACCTGGCAGCGCTATCCAGAACTCGTAGTTCGGCAGCGCCGTTCTGCCTCGCTCTCCTTTGCGAACGTACATGTAGGCAACGCCACCAGTGAGATAGAGCGACACGATAAGTAGCGTGCTGTGAGGAACAAGAACCGAAGGGATGGTCGAATGGCAAGTACAAAAGAGAGAGAAAGGGAGGAAAGAGTGAAGAAGATGTCTTGGGCAATTTTATGCATAGACACACATTAGTCGGACTGAGATTAGCGCGAGCCTTCACATTTTCTAATCATTTACAGTACCAATGCACCACAATACTACCACTTTTAAAAGTTGTTCTAAATCTACACCATTCATTATGCTACTGTAATTTCACACATTTTCGGTGTACTTTTATTTTCGGTACTTTCGGTGTGTCTGTTTGTTACCTAAAATTTCAATACACCGAACAAACACTAACACACATAATCCAATAGGGAACTGCTTGTCTGTACCGAAAATTTCTGTTCACCTAACCTAGCCTGTTGCCCTCATACCGAAAATATTGACCACCGAAAATTTCTGAAATTAGAGTATTTACAATTCACACTTTAGTAAGGCCCAAAAGTAGGAGCTTCGGACATGGACAAGTGTGGAACAATGCATCATTGCCACCTACACGATATCAGTTGAGTATGGAAGTGAGCGACATGCCAGCCATATCAGTTTTTAGAGCGGGTCATGTTACCATATAGTAGGGTACCTCAACTCCAAAAAACGTTTTTTTTTGCTGCATACGTTACTACAAATATATGCATTCACCAAAGTTTCGGGTATGGCCGTGAAAACAGACAAGTTGACTGTTTTCAACCTGACGATAGGCCACACCCGAACATTTGGTGGATGCACCATTTATTTATGGTCACGTATGCAGCAAAGAGACCGTATATTTAGGAGTTGATTAATGCTTACCATATGTCGAGAATTGTTCCCAAGCTGACAGAGTTGTGTTCGGGGGTCCGGTGGTGGTGCGATCCTCCTCCCGTCGTCTGTGGATTCGGAGGAGGCTGTGTGGTTTCTGGTGGAGGCGGTGGTTGTGTCGTTGTTATTGCTTTGTTCAGACAGGCATGCTTCGATGTCACTGTGAGATGCTGAACACGAGAATACCCAGTGATAAAGGAGAAGATTTTGATTCACCATGGATACTTACGGATACTGAGCCAATAATAATAGTATTTGTAAATAGAAAAGAACACATAGGAACGAGAAAAAGAACACATAAGAACGAGTTATAAACGAGTTATGAAGCAACTCTCTACGACTGTTACAAGATAATATGCAGTCAGAAAGTGTGATAGCAGGGCACAAAACTGACAGGCTACTGAGCCATTCAGCGACCAGACACCTAGCTCTAGCACATCTCCAGTGCGCAAACCAACATAATGGATTTAGTCCTCTGTAATGACTAACACAGGACGTTTGCTCATGCTAAAGAATGTTGGTTACTAACAACTGGGTCTGAGGACATTGTCGCGACACCGATTCAATGAATAGATAGCCTCGTGTGTTTTTAGTGTATAGCATTTCGTGTATGTACCATCCATAGCTTCGATCTATAGGTAAGCACCCAAGGTATTTAGCATTCAAGAAACGCATGTTGGTCTCTGCTGACAGTATTTTAGCACTCTACGATCTATTGTGAATGAGATTGGAACAGAAAGCCAGAAAACCATCGCACTCTGTCTGCCTAGCTCCTGGTGAGGAGGTTTTACGGCAGAGCAACGTTTGGGAAACAATATTGGTGCGGAATGAAAATTGATCATCAAAGAGTGGAGTGGAGTGCATCAACCCGCAGATTTGTGTGCATATTTTTCGAGGAACACGAAATTTGACAGTGTAATGTCCTAGCTGTCTTACGTATGTTCCTCTGGGGTGTTCTGTGTCGAACTTCAGTTCACCATCCTTAGACGTATCGCACACCAGAGTGACGATAGATACTCTGCGTAAAGACACACACCCACCACAATTTCTCGTCATACGCAATACACCACGTATAATGTACTGGTGAAATCCATACCCAGTGCAAATTATACGGCAATATACGCCCTTAACTTGCACGGCCCTTGTCGCCCTGGAAGAGCAAATGTGAAAGTATAGTGATGCACATGTACTTGGAAAGGTCCTTGGCTGCATTGTTTGCACTCGGGGTTGGATTTCACGCTGCGCAACTGTAAGACACATGTCAGGTATATTATGTTAGCTTAAGCATCCCTGTTACAATGCTGCTCAATGAAATCCGATTAATGAGTCCAGACGCGCCTTGGCTCCGTGCAGCCCAAGAACACCAGGATATTGCCTATAACAGGACTGGTGATGGTCGTTAATGCCGAAGCGAAACTGACAATGTCACTGAGTGGAAGAGAAAACGGGCAACAGCTGCTCTACGTCATTCGTTTCCTTTCCCCTCGCAAGAATATCATTTACATTGAAGGCTTGTACCTTGGAACTTTGCTCAGGTCATCTCCGTCTCCATAGTCAATTGTCGCTTTGAGAGGGTTCGTTGAGGTGACCGTAAACGATGTCGCCTTCTGCTTGCCGCACACTACCCCCTCACTCTGGCAGACCTGCAATCGTACACAAGCATTAAATTTCAGTTTTCAGAATGCCACTAATGAGTTTCAGCACCGAAGAAATGTGTAAAGCAAGCCAGAATGGCTACGGAAGTATTCTTGGAAAGATCTCGATTTATTTCAACTGACAACTGTTGGTGAATGTGAGTGTTTGCCATCGGCGTATGAGCGTGTTCATCGGCCGCTAGGGTTTACCGGGTGTTAACGGCCGTCGTGAGTTCCCTTCAGGAACTAAAAAGATAATTTTCCTTTTATCTTTTTATGAGCGAGGAGGTAAATGGTTCCGATGAAAGACAATTTAATATCTTTTCGAATTGCATATTTCTCGCTTGGATACGACAAGCCGAATTTGACAAATCGCAAAACAATTGTATGCTCACGTTGCCAGAGTGACCAGCGCGGTGATGACGCACGTTCTGCTTAGCTCCGTGAAAGAGAAGGTGGATCACTGCAGAGCTTTATCATTTTCAATCGGTTTATAATATTCGCGATGTGAAAGAACGACTGTGTTCAATGCTGTTAGTGCCGTGAACTGTTTGTTAGTAGTCCTCTTGGTTGTCTACTGGGACGTGCCACCGATTGGAGAAAGCTGGAGTGCGGTAGCACCAGCATGCAAGCGAAAATAGTGGCGAACAAAGTGCTTAAATTTTGGTTGGGACAAATCAGGCGGTCAGCATTTACCTCATCCAAGGACGATGCCATTTGCTCTTTCCACTTATTTAAAATGGATGTGATGCTCCCTGGAGACTCTCCTATCTCTTGTAACATCTTCTGAAGCTAGGTGAGACCACTTGTGGTGGAGTTTGACAAACGAAGGAACGTTGTACTTCTTTGAAAGTTTCCCGAACATTTCTCAGGACAGACGGTGAAAATCACGCATCTCTCCTAGAGGAACCATTTCCTAGGCTGCAGTCATCGTAGAGAAATTCGGGAGAAAGCCGATAAACAGTTCACGCCACTAACAGCATTAAACACGGCAATTCTTTCACATCGTGAATACAATAAGACAATTGACAATGACCAAATTCTGAGATGATGAACCTTCTTTCTCACGTAGCTAAGCAGGATGTGCGTCATCACTGCGCTGGTCGCTCTGGTAACGTGAGTATACAATTGGCGATTTGGCAAATTTGGCTTATCGTATGCAAGCGAGAGATATGACATTCGAACCGATATCAAACTTGTATTGTCTTTCTTTTGGACCCTACTTCGAAGTACTTGGAAAATCGATGCGCTTCTATGGAAGAGAATTTCCAAGCGGGAGAGAGCAAAGGGGGAGAGAGAGATAGAAAGATAGATAGATAGATAGAGAGAGAGAGAGACAGAGAGAGAGAGAGAGAGAGAGAGAGAGAGAGAGAGAGAGAGAGAGAGAGAGAGAGAGAGAGAGAGAGACAGACAGAGAGAGAGAGACAGAGAGAGAGAGAGAGAGAGAGACAGGGTTCGAGTTCCAGAGACACAGAGAAAGAGAGAGAGAGAGAGAGAGAGAGAGAGAGAGAGAGAAAGATGCAATAGCCACGCTTACCGCCACGCTGTCCTTGCATCCTTTGTACACGAAGGGATAGCACGGATTGAATCTGTACTCAGATAGGGTGAAACTGAATGCCATGCGTGAGTGTCGCAACATGTGTGTTATTGAAAAGCACATACATGTACAGAACACCGACCTCAGTACAATATCATTGGCGGATAATGCTCGAAAAGCAGTGAAATTGGCAGAACCATATAAACCCTACGGCGGGCAATTCCTCGAATTCTGCTCCATTTCTTTATCCACATGCCAAACATGCATGCAACTTACCAGAAAAAGTACCGAATTCTGCCTATGTTTCTGCCGGAATTATCCGCATATGCCTGGTCCTAAAGCTGTGGTTAGCAGCAAGCAAGGTACGGGACATGAAAGGCAGCTAAGTGGACGAAAAGCGAATTCGAAGTGAGTCGATCAGGTAAGCGCATTATGGTACAACAACAACGCATACGGGGGCACTAATGGATACTATGATTCGATGTGGGTCGGGACATATTGCGTCTGATAGGATCATGAAAGCCTTGGCCGCTCTGATAATTATGCCTGCATTCGTTTCGGTTTTATCCCTGATAGAGAACAACACCAATTCCGGTTTGACAGAACAAAAGTGCTTGCACGATTCTCTGCTGCACTGCGCCAGAGTTCTAGAACACTTCACGAACTGCATGCGACCACACTGGGCCCCATTTCTACCATCAACGCCATGTAGCCAGCTTACTAAAGTTCACCAAATCGAAACGAGGGCGATGATCCAACGAGTGGTAGAAAGGGAGAGGTAAAGCGGGCCACGCTGGAAAATTACGCATATCAAAGGGACGGGCCGGTGCAGTAGTGACAGGACCACATTGTGAAGAATACATGTAATTGCTTCCACGGCATGGAGATGCGTAACCATCTCTATGCACGTCATACACCAACAAATGGAATCACATACATGTACACGTACATGTACAGTAAGACCTGTAACTAAAGACCACCGTGACTAGCGACCAGCCTGCTACTACAGACCACCGTGACTAGCGATCAGCCTGGTACTAAAGACCACCGTGACTAGCGATCAGCCTGGTACTAAAGACCACCGTGACTAGCGATCAGCCTGGTACTACACACCACTTCGCCAGGCAAGGACGGTCTCATATTATGGTTGTGCATTGCAAACCTCTAACTAAGGACCACCTGCCACTAAAGACCACTTTCTCCGGCCCCAAGGGGTGGTCGTTAGTCACAGGTTTTGCTGTATTATCATGTACCTCTGTTTGTATTCACCTAGCGAAACGAGCAGAATTACTAGTACTCGATCAATGCAGCAGGAACAACTTGCTAGAGCAAAAGGAGTAGAGGGGTGGTGGTGGGTTGGGGGGGGGGTGAATGAATGAAGAGGTGTGCGGGGAGTACTGCCACAGGAAAACTAAGGGAGAAGGAGCCTAGAGATGGCTCTACTGCAACGCAATCTGTAATTGTTGTTTCGTCAATCGCAACAACATCCGTGCAACTGTAGGACTTACAACGGCGTTCCATCGTTCTTGCTGATTGCGGTCAGATCCAGATAACCAGATCCATCGTCCATGTCGCAAATACACGTAGACGTTCGGCGAAGATTGCATTTCACAGCTACAGACGAATGAATGAATGCGAGAACGCTCGAACCGATCACCAGCAAGAGCTGAAAGGGTGGCGTTCCCACCATTTTGGACGACGAATTTTAACACAGAAAGGTTGATTCGATTTTTCACCTACACATTCAACAGCGTTTGAGACAAATGCATCCCAGCGGTGTTAGCAAGCAGAAGATACTTTTTACAATGTCTTCTCGTAGGTACTCAACCTCTACTCATTCTTTCTACTGTGCTGTGTTTCTTTGTTGCATGCTCTGTACTGGTAGTAGCCTGTCAGCTGAGCAGGTGAGCTTCTTGCTTCACGGAGCGCTTGAGTGCTGTCAATGCGATGACATTCAACTAACGTCACTAGAGCTCGGGAGTTCGTCAGCATGATCCTGATCATCCAGCATGGTATATTTACCTACCTTGTAAAACACAATCATTTTGGATCTAATCACTTTAACTGAATCAGTATCACACTTTGCGAACTGCATAATTTAACGAGAAAGCAATTACACTGTATTCGGCTCAGGTAAGACAATTTTCACGTGTATCGAGATTCGAAGTCTGAACAAAATGGTGAACGGTCTCTGCTGGGATGACAGCTACACCATAACTCAATGGTTAGAGAATTGAGGGCCTCAAGCGAATGTCCCTGGTTCGAGTCCTGCTGATGACAGTCAGTATTCATTTTCTTTACTTTTCCAGTTTACATCTTTACCTTGTACTGCACACCCATGAGTAGGCACTGGCGGATTATGCTCGAAAAGGTTGCAGATTCTGCTCGAAAAGCAGTGAAATTGCAGAACCATACAAACTTTATGGCGGGCAATTCCTCGAATTCTGCTCCATTTCTTTATCCACATACCAAACATGCATGAACCTTACCGGGACAAGTACCAAATTCTGCCCATTATTCTGCCGGCATAATCTCAATATCACGTTGTGAATGAATTTTTGTTCAGACCCGTATCACACGATAAGAAACCAGGACACCGCACCCTTTACCAGTTTAGCGATCATATTCCACTAGGTACAACAGGGAGGTTCCAGGCTGTCAAATAGAGTGCTCAATACCGAAAGGCACGTCTAGTTCAAACAATAATAATGAGGATCCGTGAAACTCGGAGTTAATTTAAAACACTTTTTCACCCTCTTATTATCGTTACTCCACTCTGTACGCGGATGGCGTGAACTATCTCCGTGCACTTGCGCATGCATCTACATGTATAACATCAGCACTGGCTTGCACAATGCTGTAGACGTTTACAGGTACAGCCACATGTAGCAACTTTCGTGGATTTTTTAATTTTTTTATTAATTTTTTTATGGCGGTTCATACACGCCGGACAGTGATTACCGGTATACAACAGGAATAAAGGAGATAAATGGCTGTAAAAAATACAGTCTAATGTAAATAATAACTTTCGTGGAGTGCAGTTCCAGTAATTATTATTCGCCTTAGCCTGAGTGCTAACACATTGACCTACTAGTACGCTGCATCACAACCAAATGAATGCGATACTCTTGTCGTAATGGTCACCCGGCCCGTTCTTCGTGGATTTAATTTCATTATCCGATGGATCCAAATCATCACCCAACAACACACTTGAACACAGACGCAGTCACCGCCCGTGCACAATTTTGCCTTGCTTTTCTAGCGCAAAGGTGCATCCCGATAGCGGTACGCGGTATCTGCATCATGATGCACGTGATGCCAGGAGGTGGGTCATGGGCAGTGCGTTGGGACATGTCGACAAGATCGTGCTACACGCCTACATGTATACAGCCTTAGCAGGTCTGGTGTGGACGACACTACAGACTAGTGTACTACAGTCATGACATGTCGACACTGGACACTGCCCTGTAGTCTTTGTAGATGGTAGACGCATCGACAGCGACTGGTCTCGTGAGCACGCGGACAAAAGTCGTAAACAAAAGCACAATGGTTTGGTCTAAGATCATTTTCTAAACTGAGCTTGCCACGCTCTTTCATTCTGGGTGAAATAGGACAACACACGTTTGACTGTTTGAGGAACCCTTTCTTATTGATGAACTAAACCGTGAGTGTGAGCTGAGGCTTCCACAGTTACGGACCGACAATGCACGCCCATTGCGGGAAAGGCGGATCGAAGTGGCAGGTCCGCTTTTCCGTTTGCCTGCACTACGCGATGGTCGTGTTGTCGGCGCTAGCGACGCGCGCAGCCGACGTGAAGTGCAACATGCGGTCGGGATCGACGTGCATCTGTGATTTGGAGGATAAATCTGGCTCTTTGGACTTTTCGCCACTCAGCAAGAAGGACGGTACTCCGTTGTAAGTACAATAACATATTGCTATTATATAGGACGACACTCAAAACTTGAAGTGCAGGAGGCTGATCGAATGACAAACCGGCAAAGATCATTCTATAAAAAAATGTCTTCGAAAATCTGCTCACTCGCTCCGATCACAAGGTCTATAATATCTGGTTAGCCAGAGGACTCCTGTACGGACACAATTCTGATCTGGAACTGTGGGTATTTAGCATGCATATGAATAGAATATAGGGACCGGCGGATTCTGCTCGAAAAGCAGTGAAATTGGCAGAACCATACAAACCTTATGGGGGGGGGGGGGCAGTTCCTCGAATTCTGCTCCATTGTTTTATCCACATACCAAACAAGCATGAACCTTACCAGAAAAAGTACCGAATTCTGCCAATTTTTCTGCTGGCAGAATCCGCCGGACACTAAGGCATCCGCTGTGCTAGACCCAAAGCACCGGGCAATCGTGTACCGTGGCTTTGTCCGCCCTGTGTTAAAGTATGGCATGCTGGTGTAGATGAGCGCAGCCCCCACCACCTTGGCCCGCCTCACTGCCATCCAGCGCCGTGCCCTGCACATAATTGGAGATGGATCATACCTCCCGAACCTCGACATTCGCCGTACGGTAGCAGGGCTCTGCTTTCTATACAAGCTGCACTTTGTGGAGGGTTCGGAAATGGTGAAAGTCACTCTGCCACCATCAGCAGCCGCACCGCAATGCCGCATGTCTACTCGTGAGACAACCAGATCTGCAACACATCATCCATCACAACTCACCAGGATTCTTCCTCCTCAGTCACGAAACAACACGCTCCGCTCATTTCCCCACTCCCTCATCGCAACGTGGAATCAGCTCCCACCTACCCTTCTGCAGTCTCCCCCTTCTCGCAGAGGTATGCACACGTTCAAGAAAAATGTCAACGACCACTTGCGGCGCAAGTGGAAGTGGGCCACAGACAGGCTATGATCTCTCCATCGCAGCCAACACACCAGCCTAATTATACCGACCGCACTTCAGCTCCCTTCTACCCCTCTTTGATCCCCTTCGCTCAGCCTTAAAATCCGATTTTCAGTTCTCTCCATCTTTCTACGGTGCACTGCTTTTACTATTGTTTTGTCCTATCTCAATCTCAAATTCTCCCGATTATCGTTTGCAAAGCCGGTGCTCCCCTCTTGGATGCACATGTTTCTTTTCTCCTATGAATCGGCGCACAGGAGTAACGATGATTCCGAGACCTTTGGTCGGAGGAGTTACTTTTGCCCCGCCCCCACTTCCATCCAATATGCCACCACCCCCGCTGTGCAGCATCTGATGGTACTGTGGTATCCAGTAAAAATAAAAATAAAAATAGAACACACCATGCGGAGCCACTTGCCAACATGTCAAGTCGTATTGGATAGCCTTGCTCTCACCAGCACCTCTGCTACCATTCTCAGTGTTACTACACAATGTCCCATAGCTTGGAGATTCTGCTTTAATAGTTCTTGGAGAGAATCAATCATGGAATAAACAGGCACTATTACATGACATACAGTCAACTTCACTGATAACGACTGTGGATATAACGACAATTCGCGAATAACGACAGAATTTCCATGCCCAGAGCAAAGTCCCATCTAACTGTAATACATAATGGGACTTCGGGGGTATCAGGACACTTCGCGAGATAGAACACTTTTCCAATGCTCCGTCGAGTGTCGTTATACACGAAGTAGACTGTATTCAGGAGGTATTGCATAACATGCTAGTGGTGTTCTCATTTGTGTAGGAGCACACAATGATATCAACCCAGGACAAACTATCTTTCTAACCCTGTTTTGCTTTCCCGAACTTCATCATAAAGAAATGCTCTGATATGCTGGCCTCAAACCCAGTTCAAGCCGAATTGTAGCACAACTCTGACTACATTAGGTTTGGAAAAGAAACGTTTGCCTGTGTTTTGAAAGGAGTTGAGGAGTGACAGGAGTACTTTGCTGCAGGCGCTTTCATGCTCGTATTCTGTGTTGATCTGCGTCCTGTCTAGTTTCAAGGACTACAAAAGCGGCTCCTGGACATACAGCTGGAACCCATGTGTGCCATTCACGGAAGGAAAGTGCAAAACAGATGTTGCGGTTAGTGACTGTTCTGCATAGTCGCAAATCATTTTTACATTTGCTCCAAAGCCACGTGACACAGATAGGTACTCTGCAGTATCTTTCTTGCTATACTGCCAATGCTAAATTGTTAGATAAAGTACATGCAGTGTCTTTTCTGTGTAATTGCACATGTTTCTCAACATGGGTGTCTTTGTAACCTTTTACGGCCGCACTAAATGTGTACAGAGAATTAGATGTACATCCTATAAAATGTAACCTTGAATTGGACTTAACCAGGCTTTGGAGTCCCTAGAACAATTACAATCATGTCGAGCACCCTGGAAGGCTCAGGACGAGAGGTACACTATGAATCCATAATGATGTCCTCGAGCAGCGCTGCAAGCCAGCGAAGGCGTTTCAGCGCGGGGCTTGCGCTCACGATCGAGCTCTATCCGCCATTTCATTCTCCTTGCCCGCATTAAGCTCAAGTACAATCAGCGAATCATGGGAATCTTAGTTTGACTTTGAATGAGAGTATCCCTGCCAACTTCTGATGCTGTCAGGGAACATCTCGGCCTCTGAGTCGCTCATCGCTCCCTGAGCGCCAATTGACCATGACGAAAGTTACAAGCGTCTAAACTCTCAAACTGCTTACCGCATCGCTTCGGTATTTATTCGAGACTTCAGCTGAGAGTCTTCCCTTCAACCCACGTATTTCCTTTTCTCCAAAACCAAGAATTGTCCCAAGTTACTATACTTTGAAAATGTCGAATGAATCGAACACCGGTGTTCGATAGATGTATAGTCGGACAGCAAAGGGTTAATATATCCCCACGCCGCCCTTCTTTGCATTCTATCATTTTTGCAGGTTCGATTTCTGTTTTCATCCTCTTATTCACATACAGTGGATTATAGAGGTAGGTGTTTGCGATAGCCTCTCGGTGGTGATTCACTGGCTACTTCAAAGCGCCATTCTTGAAATGATGTGATGATGAGAAGGCAAGGCCACACCTGGCAATGTAGATTCTGTAACAAAACGAAGTTCTATAATACATGTGCCTCCTCAGGCATGTATCTCCTCAGGCGCCTAGCCCGCAAGGGGCACAGGGGGCACCCCTCCCCCTTTCAAAATAACGACCTAGGTTTGGCATGCACCTAAAAACCATTTTAGACATGCACCTGCCATCCTTCACAGATGTGGCAGTGCACCCCCTGGGAAAAGGACCAGCTACGTCTCTGATCCTGAACCAATACACACTTTAGCTGATATTTGTTTCCAGGTTTTCGAAGTGTATGCTGTATATCGATATTCTGTTATCATGGATGAAGGGAGCAAATAGCACCCAGCACAAGAATCCCCCTTAAAAGTACTACAAAATCCTACAGAAAAAGTACATCACAGCTAGCCAATGAAGTGAAACTAATGTGTGTGTGTGTGTGTGTGTGTGTGTGTGTGTGTGTGTGTGTGTGTGTGTGGACGTATGTTTGTGTGTGTGTGTGTGTTTGTTTGTGTGTGTGTGTGTGTGTGTGTGTGTGCGTGGGCGTGTGTGTGTGTTTGTGTGTGTGCGCCCGTGGTTGTGTGTTACTGCTGCCTGGACCAGGTCTGTCAGAGTGGCGACTACGTGGGAGGAAGGCAGACTGGAGTACAGTGCACAGTAACTGGGACAAACCCAATAAAAGGGACACTAGCCTACGCTAATGGAGATGTGCTCGGCAAAACGCCAAGGTACTGTTGATCAACCTATCCGTTTCAGGGCTGAGTTCCCAGCCATGTATTACTTGGAACACAATACAAGGAAATAATAAAAGAATAAAGGGAAAGCGCTGAAGAAAGAAATGACTCTCAATCCGAAGATCGTAACTGGGGATGTTTGCTCTACGAGAGCAGGTTAGCAATGCTATACTACTCTTCTAAAGTATTTTTCGTCTTCCCTGTAGTACTTGGAAAATGGTTTGCCAGAAATCATGTTTGATTGATTTTGTGGACAACGCCTAGTGTCCTCAGGTCGTTCAGTACTACATACTGTATAGCAGGAAATTTTGGGACGGAAATGTTTTCGGACATAGCCGAATTTTGACCTTTCGAACGGATTTTATTTTCATACAGTGCTGCATGCTAAATGCATGACTGTGTTCACATGCAGTGCGCATGCATAGTGTACATAACTTCACAGGAACAAATTTTAGTACGGAATTAATTTTAGTACAAAAGAGGCCGTGTACGAAATCGTACGAAAATAAATTCCGTCCGAAAATTTCCTGCTGTACAGTAATCAAGAACATGTCCATCACTTCTCCACATTTTTTTAGTCTTCCTTTCATTTTTCATCAGAAAATGCACTTGTGCACAGATCGACCGAGCGGGAAGGGAAAATGGTTGTGATGGGGTGAAGGAGGGGACAGAAAATATGTTTTCCTGCTTTTCTAAAGAACTGCAAGCCAGTATAGGAAACTTTGGAGCAATAACAGCCTATGTTTGCTCTTGACATAAGCGTTTTTGTTTTCCTTTTCGAAAGCTACGCTCCGCCATCTTCAAGCCCCATCCATTGGGTGTGTGTGTGGGGTGGGGGGGGGGGGGGGTATCTAAGCAGCCAAATAATATTGGTGTTTCAAAATTACCACCTACCAGGATTCCCGCTTTTACTTGTTCGTTTTCCCGAGCTATCCCTTCTCCTCCCCTGTTGCTGAAATTCTTTTTTGGCAGAACTGGAGTGATCAATTTTCAGTGTGACCCTACAAAGGAGCACGACTTTACAGCACATGGAGAAAGTCCAAGAGGCCACTATGTAAGAACTCTCTTGCCTAATGACCACAGTGTGGCGTACGGTTATTCTGTGTACACATCGACTCTCTTGGAGACAATTGGTTGTTTGCTCTGTCTGTATCTACGCACGCCTGCATTCCTTGTGCACTGCATGTATGCTTGAACACCACTTTCATTTTGCACGAAGCCTTCAGAAATTATTTCCACCCAAAAACCATAATTTTTACGGTACTGCAATTATGGATTTGACAATATTGGTTTTCATTTGTTCTTTTTGGTGCTACACGAAATATTGTGCAAGTAGTAGAAAGTATATCACATGCAACAAACTCTAGTTTCCTTTTCCGCCACCTAATCAAACAACTATATTTTAATGTTCTCTGTCCAGATAATGACACTCAATTCCAAGTATGCCTGTCTGCATGTCCCACCGCCGCCTCAAACAAACCCGCCACAAACAACCCCGCCAAAAACACAGCCTCCGCCGCCACCTGGTCCGACGACCGCCTCGCACCACCGGCAGCCTGAGCACAATTCTATCAGCCTAGGAACGATAATGGACATCTGGTGAGCCAAATTGCTAGAGGTGAATGAATATCTATAATGTTTACGGACAAGTTGAGGCGATAGAACGAGAGCCTATTTTTTATACTGGCACAAACACATGCTACACAATATACAGGACAATTGCACACTCAACTATGCTGAGTCCTTGGATACACAACAAGGTTCTTCAATCCTCCCAAATATTTGCGCTAGAGGATATCCTCTGAGATATCGTCATTGGATTCTGTGTCCCCCCCTCCCCCCGACTAGGCCTTCATGGATAATGCCGGCAGAAAAATTGGCAGAATTCGGTACTTTTTCTGGTACGTTTCATGCATGTTTGGTGTGTGGATAAAGAAATGGAGCAGAATTCGAAGAATTTCCTGCCATAAGTTTTGTATGGTTCTGCCAATTTAACTGCTTTTCGAGCATTATCCGCCAAGGGCTACCCCCGACTCACACTCTCTCCCATTCATACTGGTTCACTCTCTCTCCCATGCAGTGTTCTAATGGCGGTCATCTCCTATGCTGCGGGTGGGATTGCATTCATGTACTTCCGGCGAGGTGCACGCGGAAAAGAGGCTTTGCCGAACTACCAGATCTGGACAGGGCTCCCTGTCCTTGTGAAGGTAAGAAGAACAATCTCGTGTAGGAAATACAGTATCTGTGAATGCAATGTATTGCCAGTCTATTTCCTTCCTTGTGAGCATGGCAACGATTTTTCGAAACCGGCAATGATAACAAGATGCAGACCCAAGTGTAGTTGCTGTGCAGTGAATAGGTCATGCTCCACTGACAAGGAAATTGTATGGATGAAGTCTGCTACGCAATGGCTTCTTGTCAAATTTTTTTTCCGATCGGAAATCTGAACATTGGAGGTCCTGCTTCCCACAGACTAACAAGACACCTGATTGACTTGGGGCTTCTGTCTGGAGCACCCGAAGATCATGTCAAAGGTTCCACCCAGAAACCATGCAGGAATTTACTTAGGTTGAGTAGAATCTTCACAGAAAGGGACACTTCAGTGGAACACAACCTCAAATCACCTAAAACTGATACCTTCTAGTCTAAGAACTTTTCATAGATGCTCATATCACAGGATGGAATGAGTTTGGCCTCGAAACGGAACTCTTCACTCGATGCAAGGGTTAAGCAGGCGATATGGATAGATGTTCTACTGTCCTCGTTTGTGTTTGATTTTCGGTTCTATGAAGAGCACTCGCAGCTGCAGTTTGATGCTTTGCCCAGCAATGTGCCCTGTCGTGAAGGATTTTCCTAATCTCTATTTCTCCCGTGCTGTTCGCATTGTTCCAGGAAGGTGCGCTGTTCATTGTCACCAAGGTGAAGGCATTGAAATCTGGCTCACGGGGTTCGTATGATAGCCTGTGACCGTACATCGAAATAGCATCGATTATACGAATCTGAAGGGAAACGTGTTTTCGCCGAAGTCGCACCAACCTCTTCTATACGGATATGAAGCTGTAGATAAGCGGATTCACCCCAGTATTATGTCACGTCCTTGTGGAAGTGGATTTTGATAGTTGGCAGATTTAGAACTAGTCCCAAAATGGACCTACATTGTACATAAACATAAGTGAGAAACTTGGGCATCTCCTTACTATGAGTCCCATGCCCACTCCGCAATGCATTCTCACTGCAATGGGTTATCCCTGCTACTCTGATGAAAATTAAGGGGAGTGGGCCGGCCGAGAGGGGGATGTGGATTTGTGGCTCGACTGATATTCCCAACACAGAACATCTGTAACTCTGAGAAATACCACTGTGAACATTTAGCCTCCGTTTCGAAGCAAACCTAGAGCAATGCACCTCTTGGAAAGAGAATGTTTTTTAATCCAACAACCATGCCTATATATTTTCAGTGTATATCCAGAAGATTCAGAATAGAGCATGATGATTTTCACTGAATTTAAAGTTTACCATTACATTTACTGTAATATTCTTTTTAAAACTTCATTTCTTTTTTCTTCTTCTTTTTTTACTGGTTGCCGGCCTCGTTTACGGGCAAAATAGCACAATGGATTAACATGATTTTCTACCCCAAACCAAAAAAAAACTTCAAATCATTTTTACCTTCATTTCCCTATTCTGATAAATTCACGAAGAATTGTTTTATCGAGTCAGTATTACCCGCACACATGTTCAATATTGCAATCGCTTCTGCATTTGGCAAAAGTAGTGGAATGAGCTGCTGTGGCGCCAATCCAGAATTATTACAGAGCACATCACCTGAAAGCCAGTACTGTCATTTGGCGTCTGTGCAGTTGCGTACAGATTCCAGTTGAATTGCAGGCTTACAAAAAGTGTGAAAAAATTGAATTGCAGGTACTGAAGTCCACTCATACTTGGGCTATCCAGACACCTAACTTTTAAAAGTGGCCTGTACTCGGTCCACTGGGCACCCTTTGGACTATTTTCAGTGGAAATATTACATGGCTTTTATCGCCTTTTGTGGAATACTGACGTCATGTGGCCGTTCCACATCTAAATGTGTGTGATTCGGAGATACGGACATTTCAAAGTTACGGGCAGTACCCAGTCCCCGACTGCCGGGACAAACGAGGTATCAGTGTAGATAAGCTGTACACTGAGTTCTAGTAAATATTAGGGCTCAAACGATTAGTCCGATTAACCGGTTGCAGACCGGTTACGAAGAATTAACGGTTAACCGATAAAGATAACGGTTACGCAGTAACTTTTCAGTCAATTTTTGAAGTATCAGGTCGTTGCAAAGTGTGCACTTTCGCGGGCTGTCGCACGCGTACGCAATCTCTGGGCTGTCAACTCGGTCATATCTGGTCTCTTGGTGTGAGAGTATGTATGAATGAGCATGCAAGAGAATGTACAAGTGTGCGTTGTACTGAATAGGGTACATTTTTTGAATGAGTATAGTCAAATACACGGTTAAAAAAGAGTCCGCAGGATTGCCGTGGCTGATAGGTTATAACCGGTTAACCGACCGTTAGCTTAGCAGTTAACCGTCAGGGGTAAAACCGTGACCGTTTGAGCCCTAGTAAATATGTTAGGCTCTTTAGGCGAGACCAAAAAGATTCAGATTCCCGGCCCTCCCGCACCAAAATCGAGCCAAAGCCCATTTTTTTGGACAGTTCATACATGTACAGTACTGATCGTGTGAGTATATCTCCGATCTACGGTGTGACATGGAGTCAAGCAAACCCGGGCTTGTAGGATTCCTTGATGTAGAGATCAGAGCCACCGTGGTCCGAAATACAGAACAATTGAACGGGTTTCTTGGCCATCATGCTGCAACTCTCAATAGCTACGAAAACAAAGAGTATCAACCAAATTTGGGGGAAAATATCGCAACTTCACTGGCAAAATCGGGCTTTGCCTAACCAGAAGTCAATAAATTATCACTTTTGTCACTGAGTTGGATGCCATATCAGGGCTTTTGGAATATCTCAGTACACATTTCTCCATGTTTGCCACTCAAATGACATAAAGGAGTACCATATTGTATGTTTGTCCTGGTCACGATATCACCACGTATGTAGACACTCCCTTTCACAACATCTGTCGGAATTTTCGGGAAACCTTCGTCTCAGTCCCTACGGTTCGGGCTGATTCGGGCTGATATTCTGATCGAATTTAACAACATCAAAGGGCTCTCTTCATAACGAAACACTTGAATCGTACACTATTAACCCCGTCCTCTTAGCTGAAGAGAATAGAAAGTCATCATGGTTTTGAAAACACACAACTACAATGTGAAGGAGGCGTTGGGATTTTCAATCCAACACGGCCTCAACCGTATTTGTGAACCTTGCAGGCTGCGTCTGGAAGCGCTACTCAAGTGGGTTTCGAATCCAGATTGCAGTGTCTGGAAAGTGCGAGGCGGAGTGATATTTAATCGGGAGAGAGGAGGGGGGGGGGGGGTGGGGAGGGAGTAGACCTTCCCCAAATCGGCCCATTTTTCTCCTATTCGGCTCTTCGCCCGGCTCAAAAATACATCTAATTCGGCTGCAAAATCAGCTGATTGTTCGAAAATCGGCAGCAAAATTCGAATAATTATATTGAAAAATCGGCTACAAGAATTGTGGGAATATTGGCTTCCAAATTTGTGAGACATTGGAAGATGTGAAAAGAATTCGGGAAGCCTCAGCCCTTCTTCAAACATTGGAAGATTAGGTAGAATTTCGGCGATTCTCAAAAGAAACCTCCAAAACCGGCTAAAAGCTCAGCGATTTTTCGATTAGTCTCATTTTCGGCGAATTTTTCGGCCGCCGATTTGGTTTTTACGATCTTCCTAATGGCTAATGTTTGGAAGTCAAAGGACCCAAGAGAGACACGACCTCAACGTGCTAGTACTACAAGTCATGAAACAGAGAGCCCGAGCGGTCATGCAGCTCATGCCTGCAGCAACATCATACGTTCGTAAACGCACTTTGCAACAGAGTTCGGTAGATTTTCAGCGATTCTCAAAGGCACACTCCAAAAATCGCCGAAAAGCTTAGCGATTTTTCGATAAGTCTCTTTTTCGGGGGAATTTTTCGGCCGGCCGATTTGGGGAAAGCCTCAGGGAGGGGGGGGGGGGTACCATCTCTTCAAGCAACTCATTGATGCACAATGGGACACATTAGTTTACAATGCATTTTTAAGCTGCACGTTATTTTTGACGTGCGGCGACTGCTCAGCTTGCGTTATTTGGCTCCCATGTTGGAAAACAACGCGAGTGACATGCTGGCAACCCCGTGGAAATTGAGAGTTTTACGCCAGGGTTTAACTGAAATTTTGGATAACGTTATAAATATCGTGCAGCTGAACATCTCTTTTTCTTCCAAATAACAAGGATATGTAGATCCATCACCGCCGAACAAGAATTTCAATGTTGACCCGAGAACGAGTAACTTTGTTCACAAGCATCAAGTTCCTTGCACGCGAGGGACCATCGATTAAAATCATATTGTTAGAAATATCAATCCATGAGGCACGCATGACAAAAAACAAATTCGGGTAAACAGTATGCGTATTGAAAGGTCAAGGACGATTGGTAATTTAAAATATCTTGAGCCTCAGGAACCACAGACAACAGGTGTACAGTATTACAATAAAATGTCCATCTCTTTGAGGCATTATGATGGCTTGAACTATCGTCAACGGCAACAGCTAAGCTACCCAAAAGAAATGCAATGTAGGTGATACAGATAAAGTGTCAATCTCTCAAATGCAGAGTCAAGGCACTAATTTAGTAAACAGATTACATAGACATTGCTGGCATCTACAGTCCTCTGCAAAGTCCGGATATTGCTAACACAGAAGTCCTAGTGTTCGAGCCAGACAGGCTTAAGATGACGACCAGAATTTGAAGTACTTCAACTTGAGTCCAGTCAAATCTTCAGTATCCTGGGCGATGCTTAGTCGTGCATTTCCACCGTCACATGGCACGCAGAGAAAGCACGGTGGATTGCCTCGGCAGCCGTACGGTCGGAACGTGTTGTAGAACTCTCCGTTGAAAGAGCTTTGATTATCCCAAAGCCACAGCAGATCGTCTTGGGTGGAGGCCACTTCAAGGGAGGATTTTGTCAGCACAACATCCGTGACCATTGCGATCCCCTCTTGGGTACGACGCTGCTGAACGAATAGCTGCTGGGGATTGTTATCACCAGGCTCTTTCGGAGTGACTTGTAGTAGGACCAGACCCAGGCCGTCGACAGTGTTCGGGATTTCACCATCCACGGCTTGTGGTAACATGTATATGGTGAAGAGACACTCGGGAAGCGGACTCGTGTTAGGGTCTGGATACAAGGCAATACATAGAAAGAAGAAGAATGAACTCTGGCATTAGTACTGCCCGTAAATCTTGAGAACGCAGATGGTGAGCGAAGGAAAAAAATGGTAACATGGAAATCGTCAATTTTGTGCTAGATTGTGCACGTCTGACTGTTCAAAATCTGGTTTAGTATGTGAACTCGATCGCATAACTTGTGCCCACAGTTAGCATGTTTCAAGAGGTAAGTCTTGAAGTAACTCTTTCGCAGTTGTTTCTGCAATTTTATCAATGATAGGGACACAATGATACGAGTTATGCCTAGCTGTCACCCACTGAACCTGTGGATATTGAAATCCGATAGGCCGTCGCCTTTACTTGCTTAGCGCAATCACACACACTGTAACCAGGGAGTCGTAAAATACGTATTTTACGACTCCCTGACTGTAACACTATACAAATGGACCAGGAGTGCCCAAGGTTGCACAGCCAGCGCCCCCATATGGCCGCAAGACTTCTAAACGGATCTCAATGTCGGCAACAGTAGACATTTTTTTGTGCAAGTATTTGACTCGGAGGGAAAGCCAAGGATGAATGTATAGGAAAGAAAAAGGACCATGGAACAAAAACTGCAATGTTATCTCATGAGCTGTTTGTTTAGTCATAGCATAATTTGTTATAGCTACAGCGTAACTTGTAGATGCTTGCTCCTTTTTCTTTCCTATAAACTATTTTGTTAAAAATGCGTAATAACTAGGCAGAAAGCCGTCATTATACTGATGCCTGCCCACACTAGCCCCCTTTTATTTATACATGTATTATATTATACCTAATTATGCAGGGTGTCTACTTTCTTAGCACTGCTTACCTTCAGGGACTATTAACCAGTACTCGGTCGGCCTTCCTTCTGACGTCACCTCTTGGTACCGAACATCTATCTCCATACTGTCCATTGGGTAAACCAATCTCATCGTCTTAGGCGTCACTTGCCCGTCCGGGCACTCGAAGCCTTCTGCCACATTCACCGGCTGACGTGCGGGATTAACTGGTTCAAACTGCTTCTCGTCCACGTCGCTTTCTGGGACGGCCGGCAATTGTCTTTGACCATATATCACTAAGCGATAAGCCTGCCGCATTTTGCCTCTGAAGTGTTCGGTTCGCTGCATAGTCCAGCGATGGAAGGGTTTCATGCCCAGTGGAAACCATTGGGTAGTGCAATCCTGATCCAACACATCTTCGATCTCACATTTCAACCTGGGGTTACACTCCATGTTTTCAGAGGAGAGCTGACTGCACGAATAACGAAGGAAAACTGATTTAACGACTGATGTTTGGAGAGGAAGCCCACTGACGAGAATGTTCAGAACTCTACGAACTCGCGTGAACGACAATAGTGATGTTTGTGTTCGGCTGCATTCGACTTTATAGTATACCATCACAGCCAGACTCTCTCGATCCTCGCATCGTCTCGGTGGGTTTGGACGGAATCGCGAAGATATCACGTTCTGTTTTGTGTACTCTCGCACTGATCGAATTTTGCTCAAAAGTACAAGCATGGATGTTTATGCATCTTCAGCAAGTCCTTAGTACAAGTACAAGTACAAGGATGCGACACGCTGATAGCATGCCTAACAGCTGTTGAGGTCATTGTCAACAGGGACTGCGTCCCCTCCACCGACTGACAGACGGGACGATTTCCTTCTGCAAAATACACCACGCACCAGCACGTAGACTCTACTAGCACGCTGTTCGTTGGATATCACGAGACAGCTCTGTAAGAGTTCTGTAGACCTGCTGTCTACGAGACGAACCTATTTCGCACAGGTCTGGTAGTTCCAGACAGCCACTACACTGCTAGACTGCGAGTAGTCTACATACCCCAAAAAAGTATGATGTCGCTTGCGCACTTGATGCGTGTGATCCATACAGTTGCCGCACTTGACCTAACACGAGCTGTTTGGGTTCCCGGGAACCAAGGACAGCTCTCGTCGCCTGTTTGGTAGATCTACGCGCGCGTTTTGGGTACTGTCAAGTCAAAGATCAGGGAACTGCCATACACCTCTACACTACAGTCCCATGACACGTAACTCATCGTTGGACGCAAGATATCGACCATCATGTGACAATCCTGAAAAATGAATGAGAGAAATCAGTTCCAGTAGTTTGTACATGCAATATTACTACACTGTATGTATGTGTGTGTGTGTTTGTGTGTATGTGTATGTGTGTATGTATGTGTGTATGTGTTTGTGTTTGTGTGTGTGTGTGTGTGTGTGTGTGTGTGTGTGTGTATGTGTTCGTGTGTGTGTGTGAGTTCGTGTGTGTGTGTGTGTATGTATGTGTTCGTGTGTGTGTGTTCGTGTGTGCGTGCGTGTGTGTGTGTGTGTATGTATGTGTTCGTGTGTGTGTGTTCGTGTGTGTGTGTGTGTGTGTGTGTGTGTGTGTGTGTGTGCGTGTGTGTGTGTGTGTGTGTGTTCGTATGTACATGTATCTAAAAGAACAAGTCCTTTTATGCCAGGGCATAATGTTTAGACAATACCCGAAAATTATGCCAGAAATGATGCCAGAAAACATGCCAACATACTCCGCCAAAGGCTAAACAAGAGGCGTGAGCTTTGAAGTTCTAAGATACTGAACGTAGCGAACTATCTGGGAAAAATGCTGCAAAACAATACCAGGGCAACCTTCACACCCACAATGCATGAACAACTAAAATTGGGAAATAAGTGAGCCCATGGGTAAGGAGCAATTCCGTATAAGATGTGATGAGAACCTATAAAGTAGAATGCTAGTCCATGAAATCCGACAATGAGAGTCAAGATTGCACCCTGCACCAGATCAACGTCCATGGAGCTTGGTGGTCGCCAAGGACCCTGGCTCGAATTATTGTGTGTTGTCTTCAGGCAGTCTTGTTGACCTCGATCAACCTAGTGTTAGGAACTGTACGGCTGGTGTTGTCCTGACTTGATGTACAGTGCTGTCCCTAGACCTGCGAGTATTGGGCTGCGAAAAGGTGCGAGGCGAACACTTGAGTGATGCGACGGGATTTCATTGATGATTGAGCCGAGGAGTAGATCTACGGTACGAAATCACTCTCAAAGGCAGCCAGTACATGTCACACGAGAATATGCATGAGCAAGCACATGCATCATCCTGGCGTCATGTGATGTTTAGCTTGTCCGATGATGCAACAACTGCCTTCCGAATACATGTAGAGTCGACAGTCATGTAGAATGTAGATTCAAGTGCGTAGACCTACTGTATAGATCTACAGTGACACTGTCGCCATAATTATGTGAAAGGAAAATCCCCATGGCTCAGGCCACCGGTCACCAGGTCAAGGTACGGGTCCTCTTCACTCGAATCGAGTAAAGCGAGCTAGAGCTGTACTCCAAGCGCCACACGCGCGCTTACACCTCTGTCTGACGGCTTCCCCATGTCTCACCCCCGAAATGGAGTGAACACAGTTGTAGCTGTGAGTAGAGGTAGCCACGTGAAAAGCGCTGCAAGTGGTAACCATCTGCTAGCATGTCTCACAGCCACGATACATGAATTAATTATTTCGGGATTGGGGGCTGCCTGTCAGTGACATATGGCTGGCACGGATATCAGCGTACGCTCGTGCCAGGTGGTCTCTGTTTGTCAGAAGCGCAAGCTGCCAGAACATTGTTTTCCTCGAAGAGGATAACAGGGGCGCCTCTCTCGCTAGCGTGATGACCTAAAGCGAGATCGGAAAGTACTGCATGTTCACCCTTTCCCAATCCATGACCATGTACCTGAAGATCATAGGCTGGAGTATATGTATAACCAGTATCACACTAGTCAGAACAACAGATGGCTTGATCAGTCACAACTTAGAGTTTCATGCCATCTCAGGCACTCATCTTGATCATTTATTCCCGTAGCTATGCAGAAGACTTTACGTCAGTAACGTCTGGCGCTAGCCAGGGTCCACACAGCTTTAATTTGGTGTTTGTTTGTGTGTTTGTGTGTTTGCGTCACGCCTGGCGCTATCCCGTATCTGTCCCGTACCGTACCGTACCATCAAACACAGCTGGCCACATACAGCTGGCCGCACTATTCAAATAGGGCTTTCAAACGCAAGATCATAACGTGAAGCAACCTGGAAGAATGAGTATGAATGCGAAGTGTATGGGGAATATATGTAGGGCGATAGTGCGAGTTCGAATCCCAGGTAATGCCTGAAAAAATAGGAGAATCGAAAAATTTATAACATCCCTATGCTTTTATTGCCATCATCAAGGCGGTAGATGGTGTCGTATTACCCTCGACCGTACCTGTCCCGTACCGTACAATCAAAGACGGCTGGCCACAATGCATATTCAAATAGGGCTTTCAAATACAAGATCATTAACGTGAAGCAACTTGGAAGAATTAGTATGTATGCGAAGTGTATCGGGGGATGCATGCAGGGCGATAGTGCGGGTTCGAATCCCAGGTTATGCCTAAAAACAAAAAATAGAAATTTATATGAATTTATAACACCCCTATGCTTTTTTTGTCTAGGTCATCAAGGCAAAAAAGCATAGCGTAGGGCCCTGAGTTTCCAAGCTCTCTCGTTTGATATTTGATTTGATTATTTATCTATTTATTTTTTTACAAATTTTGTTTTATTCCATTTCTCATTTTTCATTCGTGTTGGGTTTAACTATTCACTGATCTTGATCAGTCACAACTTAGAGTTTCATGCCATCTCAGGCACTCATCAGGTGATATATCACCTGATGAGTGCCTGAGATGGCATGAAACTTTAAGTTGTGACTGATCAAGCCATCTGTTGTTCTGACTAGCGTGTCACGGCTCTGCCTTCCCGGTATCGAGCTCTCTTAGATTTCTGCTGGAATTCACAACAATGTGTAAAACCAGTATCAATGTTCATCCCTTTGGATGCCTGAAATCATGTGATGGGACTGTCATCAGTAGCATCTAGATTGTGACATGCATGTACATGACCAGTCACCTAGGATCATAGTCATCAATTCTCTCTCACACACACGCACACACACGCACACACACACACACACACACACACACCCACACACACACACACACACACACACATACGCATACACAAACACACATACTGTAGATGTACTTGTACTGCACCCCCGCACCCCCATCAGTGCCAGCTAGAATGTGACACCTACATGACCTAGAATCCGAGTTATCTATTCTGTCTGACACACATGCACACAGAATTTGTTTCCCTGCTGCCGTGCTCATATTGGTTATCTAACTTTAATATATTCTTCTCTGTTCTGCTTGTCCGCTTATTTTCACATATTTTTCTTTTCTCGTATTATCAGTGGGACCGTTGTCATTAGGTTTAGGCTTGTTTTGGAACTCCACTCTAAATAAAGCCAAACAACAACAACAACACATGCACACACACACACACACACACACCCTTACACACACACATACACACGCACACATACACACGCACACACCTTGAACCATGAAACCTTGAAACTGCCACCTAAAGGTGATGCAGTGCCTCAAAGAGGCAAGGAGGGCAGAGTTACTTCTTGCATTTGTGTTGAGCCAGGTACTGGAGACGTGTGAACTTCCGAGAGCAGGTCGGGCATGGGATGGTGCGGCGCTCGGAGCCAGAGCTGCATGTTCTGCGGTTGGAGTTGCAGTTGTGCCGGCGGTGCCCATCTTTGCTCCGGAAACAGCGGTCACAGGTGTGGCAGTGGTAATGACATTGGCTGCAATCAGGTGGGCGAGGTGCAACAATCTCTGGAACTGGAGCGTCACCAAGACTGGGAGAGCAGCTGTGCACAGCAAATCCACCTCGGCTAGCAAACCAACGATGGCACGTTTCGCACAACACAGCACTGGCCTGTTCATGGATCGGCTTCAGTCGCTCTTCCCTGCATTTGTGCCGCCGAAGTCCGCTTTCACTGGCGAAGAGTCGCTCACAGATCGCACAACACACTGACTTGGCTGTCGTTTCAAGGCGTAAGCACCGTGCAACAATAGCATCCGAGATGGACTGGATCCACTCGCCACGTTCAGCTGCGAGGTCGTACCAACCGGTGTATAGACCGAACGCCTTGAGGTCATCGCGTACCACATCACGCCATCGACGCCTGGGGCCATGAGCAGGGCGTGGAGTATGGAGCCACGAGAACAACACTGCCTTTGGAAGCCGGTGGTCGTCCATCCTGGCAATGTGGCCAAGCCACTGCAGCCGTCGACGGGCAACCATGTCAGCAACTGGCTCTGTAGCGCACATTCTATGCAGCGAGGCAGATGACAGGTGGTCCTCCCACTGTTTGGAACGCGAGGTGCCGAGAATGACACGAACGCAGCGGTTGTGGAATTGTTCAAGGCGACGTATGTCGGCACGCAACAGTGTCCAGTTCTCAGCCCCATACAACAGCACCGACAACACACAGCATGTGTACGTGTGTTGTTTAGTCTTGGATGTTAGTGAAGTGTTCCGAAAAACTGACGAGTAGAGGCTGCCAAAGGCCTT